TTGCCTAGAGGAGAGGAATTTATTTAATGGGGACAAGGTTTGGAGCTTTTCAAGATAAAATGATTTTAAAGATGAATTAGGATAATGATGATGGTTGGACGGGAATTGTACACTTAAGATAATTTAAAATGGTAAACTTCATGTGCATTTCAATCTACATTCTACAGGAACAAAATGGCTAAGATGGGGTGAGAGCTGTACTCGCTGGTCGAGTGCTTACCTGCATTCAGGAGGACCCGGGTTCCATAACCCAGACATGGTAGCACACACTTCCTTATAACCTTAGCGCTCAGGAAGTGGAGGGAGTCCAAGTTCAAGGTCATCCCCTACCTAAAGAACTGGAGACCTGCTAGGCTTCTTAAGACCCTATCTTAATACATACATACATACATACATACATACATACATACATACATACACGCATACACACACACATACATACACACACATACATATACACATGCATACATACATAATTATGTAACATGTAAATTATATGTAATATTATCAAAAATGAAAAAATGTTCTGTGTATTTCATTGCAATATTTTCAGAAAGGGATCAAAAGTAGGGTCTTTTTTCTGTTAGAAATAAAAAAGGGGTCTAGTTTACAAAATAAGGGTACAGTACAATTAAAAAATTGAATTTATAGAGCAGCTTGATAAAGAATCTTAAATGCCACCAAATTATATTCTGTATAAACCGAAATTAGTCATTTAAAAATCTGTTCTACTTGAGTATTTTCTAGGCCTTTCTTTTCCTTAGTCCATAGGTGGTAGCAGAAAATGTCAATGTCAGTAGGTAGCAGCAAAAAATGTAGTTGTGAGTCTAAAATGAACTTTCAGTCACAACTTTAGAGGTGAAAGATGCTTACACGAGAGGTAAGAAGCTGGAGGTCCAAAGCAGTAAAGATTATACAAAGACATAATTACATAAACTTCTTATATAGTTGCTTGTTTCTATGGCTCTGTTTTGGGGATGTTGTTTTTTATATTCTCATAAGTTGGTTTTCTCATCCTTTTGATCCTAAGAGAGGTTGTATTCTCTTTACTTTTAGGAGTAATATGTTTTATAAATTTGTTTTACATCCCTACTACCACATTCTTGTCTTAAATAATATTCTTCAAATTACTGTAATTGAGACTCAAAATGAAAGTGATACTGTCATTTGTACCCCAGACTGAAGTTAGGCGTCACACTAAAAACATTTTTGGTTGCAAATGACAGCAATTTAATTGCCCCAAAGGCACGTCCTGGTTATCTAATTGAGAAGTCAAATGGCACGTCTAAGACATTTGGAGACTCAAACACTACTGCCAACAATATTCTTTGTTTTCATTGCCTTGTTCTTCAAACAAGCTCTTCAAGTGGCGGGCAAATGGCTACCAGAGACTCGTGCCACATCCTCACAGTTAGCCATTGTGATGAAGGACATAAACTAAGGAAATCACTCCCTAAGTCCAGATCCCAGCTGCAGGCTGTGTGTGCCCACTCCTGTGACTGGCAACCCCAATGTTCACTCAGAACAGGGATAGACTTTCAAAGAAGAATCTGGAGAGGGACTGGGAAAATTAGGCACAACAAAAGAATAGTTTCATTGTCTAATGAGCCAGTGTTTTCCCACTTTATCATGGAGGCTTCTTTATTTAGACCACTGATCACTCCTGCTCCTGTCCAGTCCACTGTCTCAGCCAATGGACTGTACAGTTGTCCTCCTAACATTTGAATCCCTTTCTTTTATGGAACTTGCTTCCAGTGGGAAGGCTGACCACATGTCCTGTTAGGGAAGGTGGAAAGTTCAAAGGCTGTTCAAAGAAACAGTTCCAGTTCATTTTGATGGCAGCCAGTACTGTTGGGGCCAGGAGCAAGAGAGCAAGGCACTGGCAACCTAATTAATGAACGACTTAATCCTGATGGTGTCACTCAGTTCCTGAGGTCTCATTCCAAAATCCGAGTTTTTCAGCCTTTCTGTTATGAGAGCTATATAATGACATCTATAAAGTATTTTTTTCTTTCAGCCAAAACCACTGCTTGGTATACAACTTATAGTAGTTATTTTGAAGAATAATTATTTTCTTCAAGATGCTAATGATGGGCGAATTAAGATATGATTCATGTTTCTCATGTATTTTACAACTTCAGATTCTAGAATTTATTATTTCATGACACCTCTTTTATGATGATACTAAATTTATTAAAGCAGGAAAGCATATCAATACATTTAAGAAACATTTTTCTAAAATATAAAAAGATACAACTCTTCTTTCAACTAACTAAAGCCAGTCAATATTAATACTTCCATGTTCTATAAGTAATGTGTGACATCTAGTTTGATTCTCTGTTTCAAGTTTGTTAAACTGCACACTTGCACCTTTGCCATTAATATAAATTAGTATCTTTTCCTTTTGAGCGGAAAGGGCTTGGCATAAGTACAATGATTGTTATAAGGCTGTAGAATTTACTATATTTATATGACCTGTGTTTTCCCTTATACATAGAAATGCATATAAATATGCTTATAAAATACCAGGTGTAGGCTATGTTTTTTCAAAATTCTAGTGGTGGCAGTTTAAACACTGTTTTTGTTGTTAATAATGGCTCAATACCTAAAGTGTCCTTCCAAGGTAAATTAACCAGGGAAATGCGCCAATTTTGACTTCATTGTTGAATGCCTGCATTCATCCCTTTTAGACTTAGCTCTCCATTTGCTGTTCCTCAGCACTCTATAGAATTCCAGCTTGCTCCACTTTTCACCTATTTTTTAACAGTTTAACACAGACGGTTGGATCAAGTCCATTGCTCCAATTGTGTGGAGCTTAAAAAGCTCGGCAGTGCCTCCCTCCCTCTTCCCATTGTGTCTGGCTTCCCTGAGTGCTCTGCGCGCTGCATTTCGCTTGGGCATTCTCTTTTCTAAACCTATTTAAGCCCATTCTTTTCCGAAGACACTTGTTCATCTGCGATCTCAAATTGACTTCTCCCTATTCTCTGTGTCCTTAACTAAAAATGCACCATTAACGCTGATTGAGCTCTCGCAAAGCTCTCCATAAAGTGTGAAAGGCTGTGTGAGACTAGGCCACAGTGTTTGCAAATACCTGTCTGAGCCAAATTGAGAGGAAGAAATGAGAAATAATTGGAAACGTAAAAATGCTGTTGACATATATATATATATATATATATATATATATATATATATATATATATGTAACAGATTAGTCTTTTTTGGCTGTTCATAGAAAGAGACAGTTATAAAACATTTTGGAGGGAAGAGAGGGAGCCCCATGTTACACTTAAAGATGGAATAAAGAATAAAGCCAAGTCAGTAAAACGATCACGAGAGTTTATGGAAAAACCCTCATTTTACAGCAAGGGAGGTGTAAAGAGCACACAGGTCATGGATAATATCTATGTCCAACTTGATTTTTTTTTCAAATAAAGTATAGCCGTTGCAGTTATGATTTATACAATAGTAAGATTATTGTCTTTTTTCTTTTACAAACAATTGCTGGTAAGGAATATTTTTACACATTCAGAAACTAATTAGAATCATTCAAAATTCAAAAGTAGAGGAAAATTTAGAATTATGGGTTTACATTTACATTACTGTAAAATCATACATTTTAATACTTGTGAAAAGCACTCACCCTTGTTTACAGTCTTTGTTTGATAAAAATGTAGTTCACTTAAAAGTGTGCCAAGCTGTTTTATTCGGGTGCACTTTTCCCTCCGGACACACGGAAACACTGTCCTGATTATAGATGGACCAGAAAGGAAGTGTTTTAACGGCCAGCTCACTCTTTCCTGTAGCTCCCAGCCACAGTCGCAGTCTGCGATCGCTGGAACCGTGTGTGGAACAGGACAATGTAGAGACCCTGGGTTATGTTGACTCAAATGACCAGAGTTAAGGTGAAGCCCCCAAAAATATAGAAGGTAATTAATACTTTCAAATATATTTCTACATTTACCTGACTAGCTATTCTATTTTAGGTTACAAATTTTTGTATTATTTTTCTATTAAATCATTAATTATAAGAAAATGTCATTACAGAAATAAAATTTTAAGATAAAAGTACATAAGTTGAATCTGAGAGGTGTGGTTGATATATTGTGCACCCCAATAAACTTATCTGGGGGTCAGAGAACAGAACAGCCACTATATTAAACATAGAGGTTAGGGAGTGGTAGCACATTCCTTTAATCCTAGCATTCTGGAGGCAGAGATCCATTTGGATCTCTGTGAGTTCAAAGCCACACTGGAAATAGCCAAGCATGGTGACAGACGCCTTTAATCCCAGGGAGTGACGGCAGAAAGCAGAAAGGTATATAAGGCATGAAAACCAGGAACTAGAGCTTGGTTAAGCTTTTAGGCTTTTAGCAGCAGTTCAGCTGAGATCCATTCGGATGAGGACTCAGAGGCTTCCAGTTTGAGGAAACAAAATCAGCTGAGGAATTGGCGAGGTGAGGTTAGCTGTGGCTTGTTCTGCTTCTCTGATCCTTCAGAATTTACCCCAATATCTGCCTCCAGGTTTGTTTTTATTAATAAGACCTTTTAAGATTCGTGTTACAGAGAGGTACATTTTAAATAGTTTACAAAGTAAGTTAAATTAAAAATTTAAAGATTAATGATGTAATAGTATAATTAATATTTTTTATGAAATAAAAATGTGTAGAAGCAGATTATTTTGAGTAAGATAACTATGTGTACCTAGCTAGTCTAGTTTTAAAAAGCAGCTATGAACTTAAATAGCAATTTAGTATTGATTTTCTTAGAAATATTTTAATGAACGCCGGGCGGTGGTGGCGCATGCCTTTAATCCCAGCACTCGGGAGGCAGAGCCAGGCAGATCTCTGTGAGTTCGAGGCCAGCCTGGGCTACTAAGTGAGTTCCAGGAAAGGCGCAAAGCTACACAGAGAAACCCTGTCTCGAAAAAACCAAAAAAAAAAAAAAAAAAAAGAAATATTTTAATGATGAAAGAAAGTCTAGAAAGATGAACAAGAAAATAGTTAAGTGCTCCAAGGCTGTTTGGAATCTCTAGGGCTTTGGCAGAGGCAACTTTTTCTGATGAAAAATCAGTGTCTAGTCCATAAACAAACTGACTTAATTAGATCCACTTAATAACCAAAGGAATTTGACCATAGTTGCTGTTTCTATTCATAACTAAGAATAATTTATTTCCTTTTATGTCGTAACATTTCTCTGAAGCTGTAATTAAGATCTAATATTTTAAAACATTGACTGCTTCTTATAATGTATGATAGCTTATGGGTAGGAATATAATGCATGTTGCAAGTACAGGATTACTTTAAAGCTATAAACATATATGCACTGTACACCTGTTCAACAGGACATCATGCATATTTTAGACAAAAATATTTACAATCATAGTTAATTCAATAGAAGACTCTAGGGTTGTAAATTAGAGTGAGCGATAAGATCCTTACTGAACAATTATAATTACAGTTAATTGTCATTTGTAGATAGCAGAAGATTGACTTACCATCATCCACTTTCAGTTCAGCATCATAGGCTCCTGCTCTGTAATTAAAACGTGTTAATTTCTCACATTCCCGATTGCTTGTGGGATTGAAAATCAAGTCACAATGCATTTGATCGACTGCATGTAAAAATATGTCTATCAAGGTATTTACTGAGAACAAAGAAATAATACTTGCATTGTAGAAGTTATACTTTTTATTCAAGCCAAATATATCGAAGAATGAAATAGTTTATAGTCTTTATGTACATTAGCTATATAGAAAGCTTACACAAGCTGCTGGCTAAATAGCATGTAATTATTAATTGCTAATTCATGTGTATTTGAAAAAGCAATGGATTTGGAGTTGAAAAAAATCTAAGATTAGACATGTTATATATCATCCTTTTTGTATGCTACACATTCTTTAAAGAGATAGTACATGCCATGCCTATCTAGTAAGAGTATTAGAATAAGTCATTCAAAATGTGTGCCAGGAATAGAAGACATCTACAATCACTCCTATTAAAAACATCAGTTACATTCTCATAAAAACATCAGATATTTTGTTCGTTTCATTAAATAGGAACGGGATGGAGACAAATTATTGCCTATGAATAACATGTAGCTTCACCTACTCGATAGTCCCAGAGGAGCTGTGCATCACATCAGTGACATCTGCTATCATGGCAGAAAAATGTGGTGATATATTGTGTCCCCCAATATATTGTGCACTTAATAAACTTATCTGGAGTCAGATGACAGAAAAGCCACTAGATAGACATAGAGGCCAAAAAATGGTGGCACACATGCCTTTAATCCTAGCACTCCAAAGGCAGAGATCTGGATGGATCTGTGAGCTTAAAGCCACACTGGAAACAGCCAGGTATGGTGACACACGCCTTTAATCCCAGGAAGTGATGGCAGGAGGCAGAAAGATATATAAAGCATGAGGACCAGGAACTAGAGCTTGGTTAAGCTTTTAGGCTTTTGAGCAGCAGTTCAGCTGAGATCCATTTGGATGAGGACTCAGAGGTTTCCAGTCTGAGGAAACAGGATCAGCTGAGGAACTGGCAAGGTGAGATGGCTGTGGCTTGTTCTGCTTCTCTGATCTTTCAGCATTCACCCCAATACCTGGCTTCAGGTTTGATTTTATTAATAAGACCTTTTAAGATTCGCGCTACAGAAAAAAAAATATGATCTGCTGTGCCAAATCATGTTCAGAATCACCCCCTTATTGTTTTCATATAAAAATCACCATAATTTACATGAAAAGCTACTGAAGGCTAGCTATGTGTTCACTGTATTCTGTACAGTGCCTGGCAATGCCTAAACTCATGTTTATTATTATTCTTTGTGTCACTATTAAGTTATGTATTAAAATTTTTTATGTTCAATAAGAAATTCAGATGTAGTTAAAATAATATTTATAAGATATCCCTGAATTAAAAAAATGAACATAAAAATAAAACACAACATTTATGAAAAATCCATAGGAGAAAAAAAATCCCAGAATGTTAAATAGATGTGGTAAAAGTTATTCTTTTCTGCTTTATATTTTTCTGTTCCTAAACACTTTTCCCCAGTGAAAACCTATTACACGTATTTTTCCTAGTATTTTAAAAAGACACATTTTATTTTAAAAGTTTGATATTCATTTCTAATCATAAAAGGAAACAGAGTATGGAGTCCTAATTTTATGATGGGTGCACACACTGTCAGACATTGCAATGTTGGAACTGCAGTGCAACCCAGACACCTTCTGGACATCTTCAGAACTGCACAGTTATTCTCTGAACAAAGGCCTGAATGCAATAACTATTTAAAAACCACAGGTCAAGAAGTGCAAAATCAATCTGTAATTAGGTTTAAAATTTAACGTATTACATGATTAATTTACAAAAACCAGTATTTAAAGGATTAAAAAGTTTTTGCATGCATATTGGAATGATAGTTTCCAAAATACCTTTGGAACTATTTCCAGGTAGATTATAGGGTATGCACAGTCGGATGAAGACGCCTTATGTTTATACAAGTAACATTGCAGTACTATGAAATTATATGCAATGTAGAGTCAATACTTTGAACATAGGGTACTTTCTGAATTGTGCAGCCTATTTATATCAAAATATGACTGGCAACTTATTCACCATTTTTTCTGAGACAGGGTCTCTTGTAGCTCAGGTGGGCATCAACCTCACTATATAACCAAGGATGACCTTGAATGTCTCATCTTTCTGCCTCACTCCCCTGATAATTGTTTGCCACCATGCCTAGTTGATGCTGGGATGCGGATTGAACCCAGGGCTTTGTGCATGCTAGGCTAGGCAAGCACTCCAGCACCTGAGTCACATCCCCAGTTCATTAGTCATCAATTTAAAAAACTTTATTTAACAACCAAAGTCAAACCCTTATTTGATTGTTTTGTGCTATTTTAGACAATATAAAAATTTAGCAAAATTTCAGATGAAATGTAATTATTAAAGGTCAAAACTTAGTTTTGAATGTGTATTCTTTTAGCCTGAAACTGCTTGTAAAATCATATCACTACAGACGCAATCGCTTGAATAGGAATTAAGACTCAACTGTAACTCTGAGTGCCCATAGCTGGCTACATTTAGGAGCTAGCAAAGATGCCCACTTTTTACACTGATCTCTAACCGGGTTTGACGGCTCTCCTGGCTTAAGGGTCTTTCTTTTCTCCCCTTGCAAAGCATAGCACTAAAGAGTGGCAAAACTCACCTTGCTTTAGCAATGGTTATGTTTGCTTTGCTGGCTCCTGGTCTCAGAGTTACAGCAATCTTATTTCCTATACAAACGGTTGTGTTTGTAGTGGTGTGATTGTACAAGCAGTCTCAGGCTGAAAAAGACCTGTTCAAACTGAGTTTTGACCTTTAATAATTAATCAAAATTCCAATAAAATGGAGTTTCATGTAATTCTAATTGAGCAGCGATTCAATAGTGAAAGTCTTCATAGGACAGACCACAATGAGATTTCAGAACTAACTGCTTCTAACGCTGGAAGCAAACATTTGGATTTCTAGAATTTGTTTCCTGTCCTATCACTTTTATCTTCTGAGATGGTTGTGTACTATAATAAGTAGCTCATGACTGTTACAGAAATTGGGGGCAAGTACCTAAAATACCCATGAAGTTTAAGACCAATAGCATTAAATCAGATTAAGCAAGGGCAGCATCTTCATATGGAACTGAAGTACCTCAGCTATACCAGTAACCTAAGTGTTTTTACTGACTGCCGTCTTCCAGCTTTTTCGTGACAGCTAATATAAATGTTTGCTGGTTCATGCTCATTTATATTTAGGTAGTTACACCCAGGAATTCTTTAAGGAACAAGGTAGGTATCAAATCACATAATGGCCGCTTACCAACTTAATGGTTCAGATAACTGGAGGTAACTTTGAGGTCAGTGCATTGTATATACATCCAGTTCCCAAAAGACAATGTGAAGGATAGAACCTCATTTTGACTGTTTAGAAATTATAACAGCCTGGAGATTCACCCAGACAACTGACTGCAGCCTGGGAGTGAGTTCAGCAAGCTGGAGCTGTAGGGGTGGAGCTGTGAAGAGGCTGGAGGACGATGGGCAGTTCTTGGAAATTCAGGCAGGGAGGTGTTGCACAGTGGAGCCCACTCCAAGTGAGCACAAAGGGGGGGGGACGTTCTTATAATAGAGTTGGACTGGGGGGTGGGTCAACACTGGAGACAAGGCGAGAGGGAATTTTAAAGAAAGCTTGGAATATTTACAAAATTCTCTGCCTTCACAATTTCTGAGTGTCAAATTTATTTGCTGTTGAAAATACACGTGAGCGGCATTCCACACTCCTGGAGTGCGGTGAGTCGAGAGAGCACACAACAGTGGCTGCTCTGGAGTTATTTCGATGTGTTCTCACTAGTGACTACTTCCTATGTTTGGAACATTGTTCAATCTTAATTGTCATTTTAAACCTTTGAATTGTTATACAAAACTATGAGGTTTTGACAAAGGTTTCATGTATGTGCGAAGGAGGTCCTATGTTAAGAGTTTTTTTTTTTTTTTTTTTTTTCCCAGCAAGCAAAGTAAGCTATAACATATATGGCAACAGCCACTATTTTTATACATGGTTAGCAAGTTTGGAGAGTTTTCACACAGAGAAGAATGCTAGCAACACACAGATAGCTTTACCCTCCTCCGTCTTGATGGATCTGGTACATTTGTGCAGTTGGAGATGTAATGTTCTGATGTGATAAAAGAGGAGAGAGATTATTCCTCTGAGTTGCCACAAAGCTGTTTCTATATGGAAGCTCCAAAGATTATTTTTCAGAATGCGTCTGTTCTTGTTTTGTTTGTTTTTCTGAAATCAGGAATTCAGATAGTTAGGTTATAAAATAGTAAGGAGCATTAAGCAGTAAGTTAGGTCGCCCTTAAGCTCAATACATGCTATATGGGTTTTATAATATGGATTCCAAATTTCAAATAAAAATATAAAATTGGATTGGGAATGGAGACAAAGCAAGGCAGGAGGATGGAGAGATTACGAGCTAGTTTGTACTGCATAGCAAGAACTGCTTCAAAAACACACACGAGCCAGGAGTGGTGGCTCTCGCCTTTAATCCCAGCACTTGGGAGGCAGAAGCAGGTGGATCTCTATGAGTTTGAGACCAGCCTGGTCTACAGAGTTCCAGGATAATCAGAGGTATGTAAAGAGACATTGTTTCAAAAACCAAACAAACATCCCCCCAAAGAAAAACAAAAAAACCTTCTAAGAATGTCATAATTACTAATACTCAGTGTAGCTTACATTTTTGCAAACTAGTTGATTTGATTTTTTTTTTTTTTTTTGTTTGTTTTTTGTTTTTTGAGACAGGGTTTCTCTGTGTAGCTTTGCGCCTTTCCTGGAACTCACTCTGTAGCCCAGGCTGGCCTCGAACTCACAGAGATCTGCCTGGCTCTGCCTTCCCAGTGCTGGGATTAAAGGCATGTGCCACCATTGCCCGACTCAATTTGATTTTTTAAATTCAAAGAATGTAGATATTCAGAACTGTGTGCTGTAGTAGGAAGTATACACAGAACTCAGCCATGCTTTTCAAACTAAGAATTTGAGCAGTATAATTGGAAAATTGCAGAGTAAGGATTTTTCCAGAAAATCCTAAAGAACTGCTGCATGACAAAGCTTGAAGAACAAAGACGGAGTCAGGACTGAACTCATTCAGAAGATAAATCAGCACCCCTAAAGACGACATTATACGCTCAAAGAGACTGAGAACAATTTGACAGGTCCAACTGTGTGTAAGCAGAATCTTTGAACAAAAACATAATGAGCCTCATTATGACTAAAATGCTACTGTCACAAAGATGTAGAAATATGAAAACTAAGATAAATACCACAATGATAAATTATGCTGAGTCTCTCTATTGCATTTATTTGTGAGTGTGTGTGTGTAGGTAGAGGTGTGGGTGGTGCATTCGACAATGAGCGGGTGGTGTTCAGAGGACAACGTTCAGGAGTGGTTTTCTTGCTCCATCATGTGGGTTCTGGTCCTTGGGGTTGGTTTTACCCATTGAGCCAGCTCACCTGGTTTTCTTAAACAAGCTCTTCTTTAAATGTTACAGCCATGTACGGAAATATCCTGCTCTTAGTAGGCTCCTAGATAATTTTGTCATTATTGCGAACAAAGGGGGAACTTAGAAGGAATGTGAGAGATTCTCTCTCAAGCGGGGACACTATCCCCAGCTGTTCAAAAACAGAGCGAGTGAGGATCTGCAGTTAGGGAACAGGCTTCTTCTAAACCCTAACTAAAACGAATATACTAAAATATTTTCCATGTCCTGTTCTTTTACTATAGTCCATCCCTTAAAGCCCTGGTTCTCAAACTCTTCCCTCTTGCTAGCTTCTTGAGTTCCTGATACTCCCGAGGAAAATGTGCTCTCTTTGGAAGACACTCTGTGTCTCTTTGAAAGACACTCCGTGACTACAAGATTCTGTTATGTTTTAAATTCTCTGATTTCTGCTTTCAGCAGAATTCTCTGCTGGACTGGTGTTGGTGGTTGTTCACTTTGACATGCATAAAATGTAGAATCGTGGGAAGAAGTCAGGGGATTCTTGTCCACACGGTGAGAGTAGATCAGTCTCAACTCTTCAACGTAGAAAGAAAAAATAGCATGGTATTTGAAATCGGCATGACCGACCACAGACAACCTGGCGACATGTGTACTACTAAGAACGCAAATGAAACCATGCAATTTTAAGTTACATCAGAAGCCAAATGAGATTGCCGTTTCAAATGTTTTTTTAAAGTTTTTTTATTGTTGTTGCTGCTGTTGTTGTTTGTTTGTTTTTACATTCTCTCTGAAACTCTTTGTAAAAATACCTTCAACTTCAGGAGTTAAGGTGAAGTCAGGTCCCAAGAAATGGCTAAATCCAGCAGGCAGAATAACGTTGGTTATTTTAATGGGAGAGGCTTTAACGTGGCAGAGGGATCCACCGTCTGTAGGAGAGCTGGTAACGGGCACGAGCTACATAATAAAATAAAACAGTGAAGAGCATCTTCCCGCTGAAGCAGAGATAAATAGGCGTCCTTATCACAAGACCTACTACACAATCAACCTAAAAACTTTTACGTGCTTGCCTCAGCTCGGGATTGGTACCTCTGTAAACAGGGATGGGGTAGAGCCCTGCAGGCACGGGGCTGACATCCCTCAGATGTTATATATGGTCTGCTTTCCTACTTCCAAAGCTCTTAGCAGGTACGAGCAAAGCTGTGAACACGAGAACGTGCTTCCTTTGTAACGGTTCTTTTTCTTTCTTCAAATATGTATTTTTTCCTTTGTGTGTATGAGTGTCTCGCTTGCTTGCATGTACATATGTGTACCACACGCATGCTGGTGCCAGCAGAGGTCAAAAGAAAGTGGTGAACCCTTTGGAACTATAGACAGGTATAAGCCACCATGTGGGTGCTGGGAATGGAACTGCTTTCTGCAGAAATGTATGGCTGCTCTATTTCCTCAGGGCTGTGAGCTTGTTTAAAGAGATGAAGTCTGAACATATGGTTTGATTTATTTAGAGATACAGGCCTTTGCTATTTGTGGGGAGTAACCAACTTGACTTCAGCAAGCACTACCCAGAGTGCAGCTTTGAGTGGGCACCTAGGCCCTTTAACTAATGCCATGCAGTCCTCAGTGGCCCGACAGCTCATTCCTGGGAGTCCCTTTCTGTCACTAACTTGGCATGCTGTCAACTTTTCTATTAAAGCCAAACCCCTAAAATGCTGAGGTGTAAGTGTCTAGACCATACTTCTTCGCCCTTTTGCTGTTAAAAAGAAACAGCCACAACCAAAATAAGGAAATTTGAACTGAGAAACTTGAAATATTTTCTATTCTTGTTTATTCTAAATAGCTAAAAGAAATAATAGTTCAGTTTTGTTCTAGCCATGAAAGTAAGAATCATTATTGAATTTTAAAATACATTTTTGTAAGACAAATATTTTAAATACTTCATTTATTTTGCTGGGTATAGATGGATCAAAAATAATTTTAAATAAGATGTTTGCTTATGTAACAAAAGTAGATAGTTAATTTACTTTTTATGGCACTATTCAAAAGGCAAGAATAATTATGTTGAATAAATCATTATAATGTTAGAGTAATGGAAAATAGAAATTCATGAGAGAAAATACACAAACACTAATGAAATGTAATGCTGAAGGTTGAGTCTATATATTTTTGATAAACTAAGCCAATTTCAAAATTATATATTAAGAAAAGGGCATCTTATTATAAGTGATGATTTGCTTTAAAATTTAGCAATATGACTTTAAAATAGAGCTTACACATTTTGACTAAACAATAGTTCTTCCACGTGTCCCTGTGGAACCTCACATTGCAGTGTGGTAGGGACATCTTCCCCACAGATGTCACTAGCCTCATCTCTAAGTCTAAGAAGACCTTACCTTACATGGCAAAGGAGCTTGCAGGTGTGACTGAGGTAAGGACTTGGAAGTGGGGAGATTACTCTGGATTATCTAAAAAGAGGGAGACAGAGGGTCAGGGTGTGAGAAAGAGCTGTGAGGATGGAAGCAGAGGGGGAGGGAGGCTACTGCTGGCTGAGGACAAGGAGCCATGGTCAGCTAGAAGCTGGGAAGAATGCGGACTGAGTTCCTTTCCACAGCTTCCAGCAGGAACACAGCTCAGCCCATGCTTCCGTCTAAGACCCCATCTCAGATTTCTGACTTTCAGGGCTGTGAGTCAGTCACCACGTGCTACGTGAAGCAGTGAATTTGTGGTGATTTGAGGCAAGAACAATAGAAAACTATTTCACGGGGCATGTGTTTTTTCAATAGGTGGCTTGAAGATCAAGAAAGAGGGCTTAACCACTGAACTAAATTTCACCTGATCTGTTCTCTTTTGAAAGAGTGGAGCCCACAGCAGGAATTATATTATATTAGACAGTACTACTAGCTACACTGGTTGTTAGAATGCAAAGTTAGGACTTCAAGTTTTTTTAACCTATAGATCAATCTCTTTTTTTAAAACTATTTTTTATTAACACTGAACCATTATGAGCCTCAAGGTCCCTATATGTCTAACTCTAACTTGTTCTAGAAATGCCTTTATCAAAATATGTCAAGATTAATTTTTAAAAATTGGAGTTAAAAAGTCAAGGAATCAATAAAAATTGCAAGTAGAAGTAAAATTATTTCTGAGTGGTAGGACACTTGCCTAGCATGACCTGTTTGTCCCTCAGCACCACAAAAAAAGAAAAAAATACCAATATAATTCATATTTATCTCTTAACAAAATTTCAAATGTGCATATTTTTGATGAAGAAACCTCTGCCTCTTTGGAGGCAAGCTCTCAGGTAGCCCATGCCAAGGATGACTTTGAACTTCTGATCTTCCTGTCTCCCAAGGGCTGTGGCCATAAGTGTGCCCCACCATGCCTGGTGAAGGTCATCTTCTAAGTGAGGGTCTATGACTGACATTTTGCCTAGCTGTCCTTTAAGATTTTGCCTATAGTTTCTTCTGCTGGCTTCTTTAAGACAGCACAAATTTAAAGACATGGAGAAAATTTGGAGACAATAAGTTCTCTAGATTTAAAAATTAGTATTCTTACACAGTTTCTCTAAATTTGTATCTTTTCTCCTGCATTTTATAGCTTTTTAAAATCCCATGCCCATTTTGACTGCGTGTGTGTGTGTGTGTGTGTGTGTGTGTGTGTGTGTGTGTGTGTGTATGGGCGTGCAATTATTCTTTATCCAGACTTTCCAAAGTACTGAATTTGGTTTTCATATGAACATAGAAATCATAATTTAAGTTTGAACTTGTGTTTCATCTGTTGACTTAATACAAACCACACAGCAGGTTTTTGAAGAAACAAAGCCATCTCTCTAGGAGTGTGTGACTACTGCTGACGGGAGAAGTAAAGTGAGGAGAGTTGAGTAGGATCAGAAGGGCCTGAGGAGAACCTGTCCATCAGCACATATTCAACCCGGAGCTGAGCGAGAGCCCAGTTGGAGGGCATCTGTCTGGAACAACCTCACCTGTTCCTCCTTCAAGATCCTGCTCTCTCTCTCTCTCTCTCTCTCTCTCTCTCTCTCTCTCTCTCTCTCTCTCTCTCTCTCTCTTTCTCTCTCTCTTTCTCTCTCTCCTCTCTCTCTCTCCCTCTCTCTCCCTCTCCCTCTCTCTCTGGCTCGACAGGATTTCTCTGATACCCTGGCTGTCCTGGAACTCACTCCTTAGACCAGGCTGGCCGTGAACTCAGAAATCCTCTTGCCTCTGCCTCCCAAGTGAAGATCCTGTTCTTAATGAAACCTTGGATCCTTGACTCCAATGTCCTTGGATTTTTGCTTCTAGTTACATTAAAGGTTCAATTATACCCCCTTCCCCGCCTGCTCCAGGTCTTTGTAACATCTCTTTGATCGCCTTACAAGTTTCAACTGGTTCCCCTCCCTCCTCCATTTCTTCTTCAAGCTTTGCAAAGGTTCAACTCTGATAATTCTACGTGTCTGTTAAGAAGCATCATCCTTCTGTGTTAAATTTGGTCTTTAGAGGATGATCATGAGCAAACAGAAGTGGCTATTGATTAAATTCCTAAAGAGCCTGTTTTCATTGTTTCTTCATTCTATAATTTTGTTTCTGTCATTTTAGGGCTCGTGGGTAAAGAGCCCAGCACTCTTACAAATCTGTAAGAATAGCAGCGCACATCTCTAGTAGGTGAACTACACAGTCCAGAAAGTTGAGATCAAAATGCCCCTTCTTCCTCTCTGCCTAAAGTGAAGCAATTTTATGGTTAGTTCTATAAAAATGGCATGTCCCAGTTTCTTACCTTCTAGTATCATCTGAGCACTGAACAAACAAATATTAAATAATCTGTCTTATGTTAATGCATTATTAGGAAAAAGAGCTGTCTTTGATAGTAGTCACTAAGTAAATACTACAGTTTACAAAACCTCATATGCCTAAACATTTAAGTCAAAATGTACATGGTATCATGTTCATTTACAATAATCTACAATAAACAGAAAAGTGTAAATAGCATAGTTACCAAATTTTTCTTTGCTTGTAGTTCAGAGAAATGAAACTCAGCCTTCGCCCTATCATCTGCATTTATAGGGATTCCATCCAACATCTGTAAATTAGGCAGGCGGAATATGACCACATGGCGGTGTACCATTTTTCTACAAATCTAAAGAAAGGTAAAATAATAGTTTATTCCCCAAATCCCTTTCATTAAAAAATTAACCTTCAAAAGAAGGCAGTTCGGGAAAGGACACAAAGACGACGATAACAGCTGCTTTACAATCTTAGGCCGGGTGGCGGCGGCGGCGGCGGCGGCGCGCGCCTTCAATCTCAGCACTTGGGAGGCAGAGGCTGACCCATCTCTGATTCTGAGGCCAGCCTGGTCTACATAGTGAGTTCCAGGACAATCAGGGCTTCACAGAGAAACCCTGTCTTAAAAAAAAAAATCAAAACCAAACCAACCAAACAAACAATATTAGATGCTACAGGTAGAAACTTTTTCCTGGAAGGTTTCTCAATCCTCTGTGACGTCCAGTGAAAATAGAAAATATTTTTAAACTAAGGCTCCTCTTAAGAGGTTTAGTCTCAGCCGGGCGGTGGTGGCGCACGCCTTTAATCCCAGCACTCGGGAGGCAGAGCCAGGCGGATCTCTGTGAGTTCGAGGCCAGCCTGGTCTCCAAAGCGAGTTCCAGGAAAGGCGCAAAGCTACACAGAGAAACCCTGTCTCGAAAAACCAAAAAAAAAAAAAAAAAAAAAAAAAAAGAGGAAGAGGTTTAGTCTCTTTCCTCTGCTTCTTCCTCCTTTTCTTCCCCGTCCCCTTGTCTTTCATCACCCCCTCCATGGATCCTGGGCTGGTTTGAACCAACAGTCCTCTGGCCTCAGCCTCGGGTGCTGGAATCACGGGTGTGTGCCCCCAGAATCACAGGTGTGTGCCCCCACACTCAGACTGCCATCCCTCTTAAGGCTGTAGCATTGCCCATTAGCTAGAGAGAATCTCAGCTTGTGGGTAGAACTCTATGAAAGTTCACTTATAAAGAATTAGCTTATGTGAGGTTTTCCAAAAGGCCCTATTCCAGTTAATTCAACATCTTCTGTTCAGTATGATTGGTCTTTTCAAAGCGTTAACCTGCTTTAAAAATATTGCATATATGCAAAAAAGGTAGGTGGAAAGACTTCAGTAGAGTGGTCTGTTGGTGTTAGAAGGCTCTGCTGGCCAGGATGGCGCTTGCTTGGGGTTTGGGACCCGGACCTGGGAACGTGCTTATTATTCCTTGGATGATAACGGTAGGTGACTATGTCTTGATAATTACTAAAAATAGTAGGATTTATACTCAACCTCTTTCCCATCTGGAATTTGGAATTGCAGTTCTTGATTGAGAAAGGGTGCCCATGTAATCAGTTATTGGAATGCTGAGTCTCTAAGGGGCTCCCTTGAATAAAAACATAACACATAAGAGATGCCATCTTTGTGGCTGAGTGAAGAGTGTGCTCTGTGTCCCCTGCCATGGGACAGAAAGCACAAGGAAGAACACATACAGAAACTTCCAGACTCGACCTTTCTCTTCCGCATAGCCTGTGGTTGCGCATCCTCACTATGCCATTATAACCAATCTTGATTGTGCATCCTTACTATGCCATTACTACTGATCTTAGTCACAAGGAAAACATGATGCTGATTGAGTCTCTCTAGAAAATCTCTGAAATGGTGGTGATCTTGGGAACCCCTAATACAGAAAGGGTACAGCACTGTCTGTAATAGCCAAGAACAACAAACTCTTGGAGACAGATGACTAAGCTCGGCCTGGTGGCTCATGCCTATCATCGAAGCACTCTGGAGGTTAAAGCAGGAAGATTGCCATGAGTTAGAGGCCAGCTTGGTTTCTATAGTAAGTTCCAGAGCAAGCTAAAATAAAATAAAATAAAAAACAGAAATGAAAATGAACAAACTGCTTGAAATGAATGTGGTAGGGGCATGCTCAGTGATGGAGAAAGACCTCCAACACATATAACAGCCAAACTAACCACTGACCACATTCTAGGTTACAAAGCCATTTTCTTAAATACCAAAGAATATAGAGCCTGCTTCCTCTGACTGAAATACTCCAAAACTGGAGGAAAATGATGAAGATACAACTAGGAACTAGAAAAAATAGATTTAAAATGAATAGAAACATATGCACAGCCCTCAATAATTTACACGTGAAAATGAAGTCTTTTGAAGAGTAGAAGATTTTGAGATATGAAGATTAGTAAAAGCAACATATATAAAAACTTTCAGGACATTGTTAGAGCAGCACTGTGTAACCTACAACTTACTGATTAGAAATATATTGAAAATTAATATTAAGTTAAAATGATTAAGAATGAGAAATATGAAAAGTAAAACTTTCTTTGAAAATTTTCAAGGAACAAAAAGAACATGAGAAAGAATAGATGTTGGTGAAACAGAAAGCAAACAACGCCCTTGATAAGGAAAACTACGGTGTTCTAAAGAAGCAAACAAGGCCCCGGCAAGATTTATCAAGAGTAAAACACAAAAGCAAAAACTGACAACCTTACGTATAGAGGGGTGACAAAATCGGTACAGTGGAGAATTAAAAGGACATCACGAGCTTACTGTGACAGCAATACATTAAGAGTCTAAAGAACAATATCTAGAAAAATTTAACTTCCCAATGTGAGCTTCTGAGGAAGTAGAAAATATGATGGGATTTATACTCGTGGAGGAATTTGAGTAAGCAAGTTAAAGTCTGGCTTATAAAACAACTGGAGTCAAGCTGTTTTAAAGATAAGGTCCAGTTACTTTTCAAGGACCATATGGGTCTTTAAACTATCCATAGACTAGGAATAGAAGGAATGTTTCCAAATAAATGTTATAAAGCAAAAGACATTATGCCAGATTTAAAAGTATGGTATAAAAAGACAGAATCATAGCTTTTACTGCATAGATGCAGATATGCAACATCAAATACTATCAGATTGAATCCAGTAAGATATAAAATAAATTATATTCACACCAAGAATTTAAGGGTAGTGTACTCTATTAAGTCTATTAATGCAATTTTTTTGGGGGGGGTTTGAGACAGGGTTTCTCTGTGTAGCTTTGCGCCTTTCCTGGAACTCACTCTGTAGCCCAGGCTGGCCTCGAACTCACAGAGATCCACCTGCCTCTGCCTCCCGAGTGCTGGGATTAAAGGCGTGCGCCACCACTGCCTGGTTGCAATTAACTCTTAATGGTTGGAGTGCCTAAGAAAAATCCTCAGGCCAAAGCTGCTGTAGTTATTATTCAATTTCTGGCATAATACAATGTTTCAAATTTTATATCTTTGTAGAATTTATTTGTATGTCTAATCCTGGCATTCTTTTGCTCCTTGGTCTTAAGACACCACAGTGGCTCTGCATGAGCTAACTTTTCTAACAAAGAAATGTTCTGACACCTCATTCTTTTATCATCTTTCCACACCATTCTTTGTCCATCAGTAAAAGTCCCTGTGTAGGGCAGAGGTAACTTCAGTTAACCTAACTTTGTTGCTGTATAAGCCATGTAATTGCCTTAGCATATAGTAGGAGAGTCTTGTAATCTGATCTGCGGCTAACTCTGCTAGCCCACCAAATCTTGTTGACCTTATAGGTTTACTTTGTTTTGATTATCTTGTTCCTGAGTAAGAACAGGGACAGATGTTTCAAGAATATCTCTTAGCCTTATAAAGAGACCTCTGGCTTCTTTATGTGTGTCACAACATCAAGGCCTAAGGAAGACCTTCAAGTAGATAAGGATATCTCCCTAAAAGCTGGAGGGGCAGTATACTCAGGACTTCCCTGGGGAAAAGCAGAAGCAGTACTCCTGGGAGAAGGCATAAATGATTCTTAAGAGATTTCCCATCCCCCAATATCCCCAATTGCACAAATATTAAAAGTCCCCCAAGTATGCAACACATGGAGATGAAAACCGAAAGCGACATGTCAGCCATCATGTGGCTCAGCTCTGCTGGATCTTTGTCAAGCAGCTGCGCTGGCTTTATGACTTTTACCATTCCCACCAGATAGGGCTGTGCCAAGCCCTCTCCTCCCACACAGAGAGGTTTCCACCAGGGCTTTCCTGGTCCTTTGCAATCAGACTACATACTTCTGTAAATCTATTAGCATGCCTATTCGGTATTTTCAAGACAGGCATCCAGCCTGACCTGATCACTGCCATCTTGTGTCACGACCCCTGCAAGAGTTCCCAAGCAGTCGTGACCCATTTCCCCACAAAGTTTCCCAGCACTATAAATAAAAAAAAAAAAAAGAAAAGAAAAGAAAAAGAAAAAGAAAACCCAAACAAAACATTAGAGCATTGTGCGAAGCTTTCTGACTAGGTCTGGAAGCCACCACCAACAGGAATAAATTTGACCTCTTTGATCCCAGCTTGAAATGAACTATTCTGGCATGGACAGAAGACCCCTTGTCCTAACCATCATATAACCCTCCCTCTCTGACTCACCGTCCTGCTGCCCTTGACGGCCTTCTGTGAAACCCTGGACCTATCTGCCCTGTGGTCTTTTCAGTCTTATGCCTTCAGTTGTCTTCTTTTTTTGTTGGATTTTTGGCACACCACACATCGGGCCATCGCTCTGTTGCCATGTTTCCCAGTTCGCTTAGAAGTTAAATGGGCATGGATGCTATTTATTGGATCCCTTCAAAGACTCCAATGAGAAAAGCAACTAATGTCTCCCAAATTAACTTAAAGCAAGTGCAATTTGAATTAGAACATCAACAAACTTTTCCCTTAACTTAATTTGCTTCCTAAAATTCACAGGAAAGTGAAAGGGTCAAGAATAGTGAAAACAGTGAAGAAATTGAAGGATCTAATTAGAAAGAAGAGATGGAAGAGGAGATAAGAAAAATCACTCTCCAAGAATTTAGACAATACAAAATGTTAGTAACTAACACAGCATAATATTATGGGCACAGCAACAGGCAGGTGAGCCAAAGGATGCTGCAGTGCAGAATGGGACGCACACATGCTTACATTTGACAGTAATGGCTGGCAGTGCAGTCATGTGGAGACAAGACTAAGCCCCACACTGTGCTGCGTTAACTAGCTATGTACGTAGAAATAGAAAAAGCAAATCACTTTCTCATATCTTCTAAAAATTTACATATGATAATCGGGAAATTACTAGGTTTTAAAGGTAAATACTCACTGGATTGCCATAGACAGTAAGCTCTCTGAGAGAAGGGATGACATCAAGTTTTTCCAGTTCTGTGATTTCCTGTGTAAAAGGTAAGGAATTATCATTTGGTTGGCTTACATCTCCTAACGTAAACCTCTCTGAAGTAGTTTTGTGCAAATTTTAGATTTCAAGTAGCTCCAACTGGATCCTCTGAGTGAACCCAAGTGAAGACTGTAGTCTCTCAATACATGACTTGCAAAGACAGCACTGTGACGTGGAAAATGAGCCACACAGCAGTACTTGCAAGAGAACAGCAAACTTTCCAGAAGAGTCATAAGCCACCCTAGGGCTTAGATAACGACCTTAATAATAGAAGAATGTGTGATACTGGCTATACTCTGACACACTAGCTGTGAAAGACAGAACAGATTGCAACTGTTTCTCTGGTTAAATGTTTTGCCCTCCACAATGCATAGGACTATTTATTAGTATCCACTTAACATCACTGTAAATTTCTAATAGTGTAGCTTTGGCAAAATTTTAAAAGTTAGTTATTTTTATTTAATATGTATGTATTTTGCCTTCATTGTATGCTCAGGTAAGTTTAAAAGTAGTGGAGAATCTGGATGTCAGACAGAGGAATCACCTAGCTATGGGGATCGAATGGGACTGTGAAGCTGAAATTTTTGTTTGTGGTGCAATGATTCTTAGACCCAACACAACAGGCCACACTTTTCTCAGTCTACATTATTGGACATATTGGGGATGTAAGTCAAGAGCTCCACACCATAGCCTATAGGTCAATGAGAGACCACATCTACCTCTTATCTGAAGTACTCATGCTTTGTTAATTTTTAAAAGGTTTTTCTCTTGTCCTATCATTCTTGGCTAACCCAGACAGTGTATTCTGACTGCTCACTTGTAGAATTAATTCTTGTATCAGGTTGCCCAAATTGGTATGAATGCAGAGACAAAGTCTCTCCTCAAAAGAAAATCTGAATGGACAGCCAAGGTTTTGAAAGAACATGGTTTCAGAAGAATTCAACTAGGTTTCCAATTCGCTCTTACTCCCAAGCCTTTATTTTCTCCTCCAGTTAACTGTGTATGGTAACACGAAGGTACAATAACACCAACCATCAGCGTAAGCTCAGTGGTAAAACAACCCATCTAAACTCACTAATGAATACCATAAGAGTAAAAATCAAAGGCTAAAATTATCCAACAACCGCTAAAGCTCAGTCATTCCTTCAGTGATGCGTGAATAGTCTCCAGTGATTTGTCACGGGTTACCATATAGTTGTATTACATTTGACAGGAAACCCCACTAAGCATGATTCTGTTCAAGTTGCTGAGGAGGGTGCTACCATACCAAGCTCATCTACCATCTCCTCCATCCCTTGTGGGGAGCAGGGTGTCAACAGGTGAGCAGGGACATCCTGAGGAGAAGCTGGTCACCTGGGCTAAGCTCCTTTAAGCATACTGTTGACTGAGTGTCCCGGCAAACAGAGCAATGGCCTTTTCCAGGAAGCTTCTTACCTGTGGCATTCTCTTAACAGATCTCTCTGGATGAAGATTGCTTATAGTTAACTAACCTGGAATCTACGGAATTACAGGCCATGGCCTCTAATACGATGCTTAAGTATAAATGGAAATATTTCAGGAAACACTCCCCTATTCTGAGACCACTGCACAAAATCTGAGCTAGATAGCCTGTGTGGTGTGGGAAGAAGGAAACCAATCAAATGTCCAAGGTGTCAAGTATTAATGAATTAACTGATAAGCAAAGCTCATGGAGGGTTTGTTTATTTTTGCCAGGCTTTTAAAGCCAAGGCTTTGGGCATGCTGCACACACGCTCTACCACAGAACTGCTCCCCTAGCTCTAAGTCTCTTTGGTAAGCTCACTTACTGTTGCCAGAATATTTCCATAGAATATCAATTTTTCCAACTTTTTTTAAAAATGTTTTTAAGGATTTATTTATTTATTATGTATACAATGTTCTGCCTGCATGTATGCCTGCAGGCCAGAAGAGGGCGCCAGATCTCATTACAGATGGTTGTGAGCCACCATGTGGTTGCTGGGAATTGAACTCAGGACCTCTGGAAGTCTGGAAGAACAGCCAGTGCTTTTAACCGCTGAGCCATCTCTCCAGCCCAATTTTCCAACTTTTATTTCTCCTAAATAAAGTGCTGGAAAGCTCACTGCCACTTTGGACAGGCTTTCCTCAGACTGGTGTTTGAATCTGGATAACTCAGGTACATACATGCTATTTTTCTCAGTATGTGTGTTTCTTACTTGCTAAGTTAAAAGACACATCACATCACTCATGATTTTCTTCTAATCTTGGAAAGAAATTTCGTATTATCCTTGAAAAGTCTTAATGAACTGTAGCAAATAGAGCCGCAGACAAATATTTGTTGTGTCTAGTGTCTACCTTGTACCATGTGCTATACTGACATAAATATGGACAAGATGGACACAGGTCCTGCTCATGCAGGGGGAGTGTACAGTTCAGCCTGTCTTTGAAGCTGCCTTAGAAGTGTGGGTAGCAGAAGCAGCATGGGTGAAAGTAGGTATGTGCTGTGGGATGTTCTGTATGGCAAATGTGTTGCTGATTAGTCAATAAATAAAACACTGATTGGCCATTGGCTAGGCAGGAAGTGTAGGCGGGACAAGGAGGAGAATAAAGCTGGGAAGTGGAAGGCTGAGAGAGACACTGCCAGCCGCTATGATGACAAACAGCATGTGAAGATGCTGGTAAGCCACGAGCCACGTGGCAAGGTATAGATTAATGGAAATGGATTAATTTAAGCTGTAAGAACAGTTAGCAAGAAGCCTGCCATGGCCATACAGTCTGTAACCAATATACGTCTCTGTGTTTACTTGGCTGGGTCTGAGTGGCTGTGGGACTGGCAGGTGAGAGAGATTTGTCCTGACTGTGGGCCAGGCAGGAAAACTCAAGCTACAGGTATGTAGGTCATTATCAAAACGCTGATACAAACACCAGCTCTCGTACCTGTATACAACCTCAGGAGACAGTCTAAGAAGACCCAGCTTTAAAAATTCAGCTTTTAGGCCGGGCGGTGGTGGCGCACGCCTTTAATCCCAGCACTCGGGAGGCAGAGCCAGGCGGATCTCTGTGAGTTCGAGGCCAGCCTGGACTACCAAGTGAGTTCCAGGAAAGGCGCAAAGCTACACAGAGAAACCCTGTCTCGAAAAAACCAAAAAAAAAAAAAAATTCAGCTTTTAAAAGTGGCAGCTGAATTCCGAGTACATAAAACAAGGTACTAGCTAAGGAAGACCTGAGTGGGAAGAGCTGTAGTGTAAAAGCCAGGTCAGTGAGATAGACGTGAATACCAAGTAGACCAAGGACACAAGGCAGAGTGAATGGGCTAGAGGAAGGCTTCAGCTGAGCCTCAGAGACTGCCTAGACCCAGAGCATTGAGGACTAAGCACAAACTGTGAGAGGGGATTGGCAAGAGCAGCTTTAGAACTAAACTAAACTAACATCAGTGAGTGGGTGCGTATCGTCTGGGTCCTAAGTCTAGACGTGGTGAAAACTTCTTCGTATCAGAGTACAGTACATGCCTTGTGATATGCCTGAGATAGACTTGACAAACAGCGGTCACAACACTCTCAATGGTGTGCTTGGGAGCTTTATGCTCACATCACAGGGGATTTCAACTACATAAACCTCGAAACGACAACACCCCCAAAGAATGTTACCTGGATTTTGTTATAGCCTAGGAAGAGTTTCTCCAGTTTGACCAAAGACTGCAGCTTGCCCAGCTCTCTCAGTCTGTTTTCCTCTAGATGAAGGGTCAGCAGGGAACTCGGCTTGGCGAAGGCGCTGTCGTTAAATGCTCGGATGCGGTTATGGTCGACAACCAGCTCCTGAAGGACGACCAAGTTGTCCAGCCCTTCCACCTGGCTGATCTCATTTCCTAAACAGTTGTGACATGCTGCATGAGCCCCGACTTCCAGAATCAAAGTCTATGTACCCATCTTTATTTAACTATTTATCAAACGATTTCTAAAACTAAAAAAGAACGTTTATTTTGATGTCTCAAAATTGTAACACAAACTGGTCTTTCCCTAACCTCTAATGAGCAGCCTTCCCCAAAAAACTATCTAGCCTTAGCAATCCAGTTTATCAATCTGTTAATTCAGTTACAAAATAATCTTGGACCAGTTTTCCTCTCTTCTTGATATATCTAACTAGTCATTTAATCCTAATATTTACTCCTTTACAACTGATTTTTAGACTTACCATTTCTATTGATATCACTGTGGGCCAGGTCATTATTGGTATAGGTTAATGCAACTCTGAATCTAAACTGCATTTGCTTTCGAGTCAGACTGACCTAAATACCATAACACATTGGTGCAAACTTGGGTACACTATTTAACCACATTGAACCTCAATTATTTCTTCTTCCCCACTCCAGGTGTCCAATAGCAGGGAAATAGCTAAGAAAGTATGATAGATAAATATACAGTAGATTTTTTTCAGTCATAAAGAAGAACGATATTATACTCTTTGCAAGAGAATGCATGCAACTGGATATAATCACAATAATCAGATTACAAACTTCATATGTGGAAATGAAACTATCTAAGGAAACAAAGGGGACTGACTAATGAGGGGCAGAATGGGGAGGCAAGGGAGGTAGAGAATACACTCAACCTACAATATATAGTTGTATGAAAATGTCCCTATATAATAGTACCAGGCACAATGAGTATATGCAATCAATTGTTTAAAACAATCTTATTTGATAAATTTTTGTTGTCAGTGACCATTAGAGTAATTGATGATGCTTACACTTGCTTGTTAAAGCAAGGTGATAATCCAGTCAGTTTACAGGGTTTATGAACAGCATGTCTACTCACCCTGTAGAAAGAGGAATTTTAAGTTTCTTAGTCTGTTCAGTTGTAGCTGGACTAAGTTACAAATTCCATTGTATCCCAAATGAAGAACCTCTAAACTTTGCATTATTGGAGGCAAATTTTCATTGTTCATTGCATCTCTGAAACACACAGTTATGTTTGAGGTCATTAACTTGATTTGAAAGCAATTTTATCATAAAAGAAGGTCTGAAGTGTACTTACTACAAAGTGAAAGATAAAAATTTGTATGAACTTTTGATATATGATAGTTGAGTAGTACTTTTATAATAACAATAATAATTTTTATCTTTAAAAATGTTTATAGGGAAAAGAATAAAGCACAGAAAGCCACAGTGAAAAGTGAAATCAATACAGCCAGGTGAGAAAAAGAAAAATGTTGTATTCCATTAGAAAGGAATAAGTACACTTACCTTTATTCTCAAAGGACATAATTCCTGTATGTATTAAACTCTAACAGATCTACCAAAAAACGCTAATTGAGCTAATAAATTACTTCATCAAAGCTACAAGATCAAATAATAAAAATGTTAATAAGTTCCAGTGCCAATAAAAAATTTAAAAATAAAATTAAGAAAACAATTCTTACACATTTTACAATAGTGTAAGAGAAAATAATTTCAGAACACTTTAGAATAAATTCCAAAAAAGAAGCACAAAATTTATATATAGATAAATACACACAAGTGAATGAAACCAATGAAGGTATCAGTAAGTAAAAAAATTATTTCATGTTTGTGGATTAGAAGTCTGAATATTATTAAGATGAATTCTTTCAAATTGATGAGTAGATTAAATACAATCTCTGTCAAAAGCTTTCTAGGAGAAAACGAACTGTCTTAAAATTTAAAAAGAACTCAAAGAACTATGAACATCCAAAACAATATTGAAAAAAAAATAAGCTAGCTGGCTTACCCTCTTATAATCTATATATTGAAACAGTACACAGCAGGGTAGTGAAATTAATCACTGGCCCCTGCAGTGACAACGGACAGGTCTCAAAGGCAAGCTAAGTGAAAGGAACTAGACACAAAATGAAAGTAAAAGGAGGGCTTGGAGGTGGAGGAAGTGAGCAGTGGGACGGAGCAGGATACGATAATAGGGGATTGGAGATAACCAAAGTATGTTTTGTACACATAGGAAATGTCATAATGAAACCCATTATTTTGTACAATTAATAAATGCTAATAAAAATGAAAAAAGTATGCTGTGGGATAATGTTGTACACTGGTTTAATAAAATGCTGATTGGCCGGGCTGGAGAGATGGCTCAGAGGTTAAGAGCACTGACTGCTCTTCCAGAGGTCCTGAGTTCAATTCCCAGCACCCACATGGTGGCTCACAACCACCTGTATCAAGATCTGGTGCCCTCTTCTGGCCTGCGGTCATACATGCTGTATACATAATAAATAAATAAATCTTAAAAAAAAAAAATGCTGATTGGCCAGTAGCCAGGCAGGAAGTATAGGCAGGATAAGCAGACAAGGAGAATTCTGGGAAGCGGAAGGCTGAGTCAGGAGACGCCAGCCCACTGTCCAGGGAGCAGCATGTAATGGCACACAGGTAAAGCCACAGAAAATGTGGCAACATATAGATGAACAGAAATGGGCTGAGTTTAAATGTAAGAGCTAGTCAGTGGTAGGCCTGAGCTAATGGCTGAGTAGTTTTAATTAGTATAAGCCTGTGTGTGTTTACTGGGGTCTGAGTGGCTACAGATTGGGCGGGACACAGGAAAACTTCCAGCTACAGAAGTACTTTCTATGTAATTCCAATATTACACAATTCTAGAAAAAGGCAAAGTTACAGGGAAAGAAAGCAGATCAGTGGCCATTGCCAAAGGCTGGGATGTTGGGGAGGGGGGTTGCAAAGAAAAATGAGGGTGTTTTGAGGGGCAGTTACTTCACACTGTGGTGTCAGCTGTAGTTACAGGGCTGAATACATTTGTCAAAAATCATTAAATGGCACACCGAAGGTGGTAACTTTGTTATATGCAAACTACCTCAATAAAGATGGCAAACACAAGGAATGTTCTTCATTGAGAAAAATGAAAATAAAAATATTTTGACTTGGTGATACACACACACACATTTCACATACACAAGCACACACATCTCTGTCAATCTTTCCATGTATCTGTCTGTCCATCTGTCTATCTGTCTAGCCACCCATCCATCCTGTTATAGATGTATAGGAAAGCAAGAAATATGTCTTGATCTTCACAAGTGATATATTTCCCATTAATGTTAGAATTGGGGAAAAATGACAGACTCCCTTTTTATTTGTGAAGTCTATTTTTGGCATATAGTTTGTTAAAATAATTCTTAAAATCAGCCAAATATGTGTATTAGGTTGTGTTACTTCTTTGGTTGTTTCTAAGTGTGACAAACTAGAGCCTTTCAGAGCGTACCTGTTTAGTTTTGAGGCTCCTTGCTGTCCATAGCCACTAGAAGGCACTTTCTGGTAGAGTAGCTGTCTGTTGCTTAAGTGAGTCTGAGGTTTCAGTCTAGGTATGATTGATTCAATATGATTATAGTTGAGGCATAACACCTACAGAAAGAACATCTTAGTAATCAAATGTCCATGATACATTGAAATGGTATGACTAATACTTGGAATAGAGAACGTAATTCATAATATATTATTGTGAAAAATAAAATAATTTATCCCAAAGTATTTAGATTTAGCTTGGAATGTGTTTTTTAACAATCTTACATGTTGGAGAATCACTACAAATAAAATATCCAAGACACTAGCCAGCCATTCAGCTTTCTCAATCTGCACTCCTGGTTTGTCTAAGCCTGATACAGATGAAATAATTACTAAGGAAGTATTTTTGGTCTGTGTTTAGATGCTGAGAATCACCTCATTCTCAACTTCATTTCATAAGTGCTCACTAGAGACATGGCCTCAAATCCCATCTCCTAGTGAAGAGTGAGATCTGTTTGTAAGTCAATGATGTAAGATAGACTGTTAAAAAATAAAAACTCTGGAAGGGAAGACTAAGACTTTTTCTTGATTAGTGAGAAACAAAATAAAATACAATTGAGGGAATAATTTCGACACCTTAATAAGGAAATACATTTTAGTGTAAAATGAAGATTAAAACTTGTGCTGAAGTCTGTGAGAGGAAAGACAGCTTTGCAGCAACATGCCTTCACATTGGGCAGGTAGATGAGGCCGCTGAAGGAGGTGAGGTTGTTGTTCTGCAGGTTCACGTTGCACACGTTCCTAAAGTGGTCAACTGGAATCAGATCCACAGTCCTGAGTTAGAAAGCAAATACAGTCATTATTTTAACAGGACAGAGTGAGCTCCCCCTAAACGACTCCCAAGTTCTATGCAATGTCAAATATTGGAAATCCATGTCCAGTATATTTTTGTTGCACCGGTATGAAGAAAATGACATAGAATTTGATTACTTAAAAAAATACCATCTCTATAACCATTAAACAATTACTGTAGAAGACACTTCTACAATGAACATTTCCGGTTGTTTCATTCACAAATTAACATACAAGTCCATGAAATCACAGCAGACTTGATAAAGTAAGTCTATCAAGTACGTAAGATAACCAGGTCGTAAGCGTCCATGGACATATGTGAAGTGGGAGGTTTCTGAAGTGGCAAGAAGTGACAGGAGTGGACAGGAAGGAGACAGTAGTAAGGGCGTCGAAACCAGACTTTTTTGAGATCTGTGGAAGACCTGCAAAGTATTGGTTTCAACACTCAATTGAGAATGGTGATTGCAGCCCATGGTCATTGAGAGGCTCTGGAGATCCACATGCCAGACAAGTCGGAGCCTGAACATAACAATTCCACATTCATATTCTGTCATGTGTCTAAGGATCCCGTTAGAACTAACAAGGTACAATTAAAAGTGTTAACAGGTTTTTTTTTTTTTACTTATTTTGATTTTCATGATTTTCTTCAGATGTAATTATGTTTTTGCTATTCCTTAAAAAAAAAAACAACCAATATATAAGTAGTAAACCTAATATGACTAGTGGTAAAAGAAATAGGCGAAACAAAATCAGATGAAAAACAAACCCTCATGGTAACTTTTTTTTTTCTTTTGAGACAGAGTTTCTCTGCATAGCTTTGCACCCTGGAACTCACTCTCTAGCCCAGGCTGGCCTTGAACTCACAGAGATCCACCTGGCTCTGCCTCCTGAGTGCTGGGATTAAAGGCGTGCACCACCAACGCTGGCCATGGTAACTTTTTAATCATAATTTCTGATAATAAAAATTATTGCATCATTTCAAGTGGTGTCTAAGATAGACTAGGATAATTACCAAGTATATTTAGAAAGGAGAGTTCGAAAATGTGGTGATAATTATATTTGTAATTATAATGACAAATAGACACAATAAAGTGATTGTACCTGATGGATGATGAAGTCCAGTTTAGTTCTTGCATTTGGACAAAGTTTGAGTGGCCTTGGCGTTCAGCAATCATGTCAGACGTAAGCCTACCACCAAACAAATCTTTTGCATTCTCGATCTCCGGAGGTTCCTTGAAGGACATTTATAAAATGATGACCTCTCTTACAGATGACCTCTGGTTACAGATATAAATGACCTAGACACATTTACTCTTTTCAGTAGAAACAGCTACTTCCACCTACTTAGCACACTGTATAGGTAAAACACACACAAGATGACCAGGTTCCTAGGGACCTTGGGGCCTGAGGAATGACACCTTGATTTTGTTTTTTGCCTCAAATATGTCCTATTGGATGCTGGGGAGCCAGAAAATTAAAGAAAGCCCATAACCACCCAACTTTCTCTAGTCAGCAGACAAGCAGAGGAGAGCCTGGCATGACAGTAACTGTGAAACTTTTAGATACTAATAGACCTGTTCCATCCAAGCACCAGAAAGTAAACTTGGCCCGACCACCAAGTACAGAACAGGCTGCTCAGTACTGCCAGTCCAGTACTGCCAGCTGACAGCAAGACACTCCTCAGCTTTCCTTGTCAAAGGAGAGACTGAACCTGCATTCCCCCCCAGCACAGTGCAACCCCCAGAAAACAACAACCAACCAAACCAAACCAACTTTCACCACCAAGTGTTTGTTACTGGGGACCACACGGTGGGGGCTGGACTGGGTTGCCACTACTGTCTATCATAACAGGGGTCCCTGTGGAGTATTAACAAGGCATTCCTGTCTCTCACAGCCAGGAATCCCTGGAGGCCCACGGAGGATGTATCAAGGTATCTATCCTAGCCACACAGAATCAATCATCTTCCCACTGGTGCACCGATAGGGGAGGGCTGCTGAGACACGTCATCTCTGCTCTGCTGCAGACCCAGAATTGCCCACTGAATAATAGAAAAGTCTTGTCTCATCATATTAAAAACCAAGAAAGCTCTCAGTGTGAGAAGACAATCAGCAGATCCTCTGGAATGGCGTAGATATGAGTCATTACTGACAATCTGGCCTCACAAAAACGCTTCAGCAGTTATGAACACATTTGCATCAAATGAAAACACCAACTATCAGCAAGGAAATAAAATAGAAGATATGAAAAAGAATGAAACCAACTTTAATACTGAAAAACACCAGAGCCAGGCAGTTATCCCAGGGCAGTAATTTATCAGTCTGTTAGATAAAACTGATAAGACATTCGCTCCACATTTACTTGCCCTCCCTTCTTAGATTCCTAACTCACCAAGACTTCATATTTGAAATGAGAATAAATATTCTTCACTCAAGATGATTTTTTGCAAGCTAGAAATATGTACGGAGATGGAATAAAATGAAATTCCAGCTACCTAGACAGCGCCTTAGTTCTTCATAGACTATGAATATATATCAATAAAGACCTGCCTAACTTGAAACAAGCCGTGTGGTATCTCTGAGCTGCTGTGCGCATCCTGCCTTCATCTGCGCCATTCCTGGTCCACTCACACCTCAAAATCCTCCAGGGATGTGTTGCCCTTCGCACCCCCTGCTCCCTCTTTTCACTGCTTTTTCTTTCTTTTTTCTTTTTGTTTCCTAAGCAAAATATTAAAGCCTTATTCAGACTTCCTTGCATTCTCTATTCTCTTTCTTTAGACAGTTTAACTATCTGCTCTCTTCAAACTACTTTTAAATCTAAAAAAAAAGTGAAAGAAATTTTCATAGCCAAAGTTAGTCCCATGATTTCAACTGCCTGCTTGATATTTCTTCTAGTCAGATAACCTAATGTCTCATCAAACGTGGTATGTCTGAAAGTGGCCATCTCCTCCCCCAAAGCTGCTTTTCTTCTGCTCATATTGCAGCATGAGGTCTTTGGCTATAGTCATCTCGGAGAACATCAGGGCTCTGTTGAGGCTCATTAGGGGAAAGCTATTTCCTCCTGGTCAAAAGCATGGAATCTACCTCTGGCCTGAGTGGAGACATGAGATACCCTCCCCCAAGAGCTAATTCACCTGGGCCTGTCAGTGACCGTTCCAAGAGAATCACCCCTCAGGAAGGTTTATTCACTTAAAGCCATCCTAAAGAGTTGGGAAGAATAATTATCCCCTTAATGAGATAATGTACTTTTCCTTCAGGAAATATCATCCTCAATGTAGTTATTCCCAGACCCACCACCATGTTGATCTTTTAAGGTCTATCCACCAGGAAAGTGTAACTTTCTCTTTTCCTTTTCTATCACTTTCTTTTAGATACTAACCAAAGCCTAAGCATGTTTTCTCTGGCATTTTGGGTTTTCTTAGTCCCGTTCTGAAGCTGCTGTCATGTGACTGGTTGCTGACCTCCATTGCTGAGCTTGTCGATCTAACTCAGAAGGCGTGGCTTTCTCTCTTCCTCCATTTCATAAGCCTCCCAATGGCTGCCGAGATCTATAATTTGCTTGCTATGTTGTTTTCTCTTAAACGTTAGTAATATTGACCTTGAGCTTCCTAGTGAGTCTCTTTTAAAATTCTTTTTGGAAGGCTAAGAACCCAAAGAGGTAACCCCAACTTCCCCCTTAACACTTTCATTGTAGTTGCGAACTTTGTAGACACTTTCCGTGATTGCTGCCCTTGAGTAATAAATTCTGTTAATTTTCTCTAGTAATTCTCTTAAGTTTCAGCTTTCTGTTTCTGTTTGTTTACTTTTTGAGACAGGTCTCTTTACACAACCCTGGCTGCCCTGGAACTCACTATGTCAACCAGGCTGGCCTCTAGCTCACAGCCATCTGCCTGCCTCTGCCTCCCCCAAGCTCCATGTAACAGGATAAGAGCTTGACAAACATGGAAACATGGAAAGAACACAGTTTCCTAGTGTAATGTTACCTAGCTCTCATCAACAAAAAAGTGCATCAGACATTCTAGAAAACTGAGAGACAACTCTTGATGGTTTAGTACTCTGAAACACGCTGAAAAGATTACTAATCCTAGCCCCACATTTTTCAGGGTTCCACTGAATAAAGCATCATCATTCCAATAAATGAAAATTCTTCAGAACGGTGTATGTTGGGCTTATTCAGTCACTAGCTTTCACTAGGGGGGATTCGTTATGTATAGTCTTGTATAACTAATATTGCATTTGCTCTAAACGTGCTGGAGCTCTTATTCCTCTTATTTACATGCCCTCGTTTGAAAGGTGTCATGAGAAAATACTTCTAGAGGTAAATGTAGGGGGAAAAGTCTTGTTCTATTCACTGATGATGGGTATTATGTAAGTATTTCTCTTCTCACTTTTTAGCATCTCAAAAGCTCAGAGCCAATTTTATGATTCAGTAATAGACACATATAGGGTATTGTATTCTCTCTGTCCCTAATTCTAGTTTTTATCTCTTCTAACTTATGCTGTTCTTAGTCTTGATATTCACTACTTATTATTTATTCTTTTATTGTTTTCTTATATATTATGTTTCCTATAAGCTGCTATACGTCTTTTGTAGAATGTGGTATGTCAAAAATCTATGAATTAATAATGGAACATGAAGAATGGGCTGGAGAATTGGACTTCAAATTGAAGGGAATGGGAATGCACTGAATATTTTTCAGAAGAGTGATTATATATGCAGAACCATATATTAAGAACTTTCATCTAATAGCAGTATTTATGGAAGTAGAGGAAATAACTGTTGTTTTTAAGTTACTAAAATATTGCAGGATCAAAATAATGAGAAACTGAGCAGAAGGAGGTGACTCAGAAAGCTGGCTGGATATGGGGATGCACACCTTAATCCTAGCTCAGTGCCTCATGGGGTCTTTTCCTGCTGAACCCACTCTTTACTTTGGAGGCACTGTATGAAAAGGTAAGTACCCTCTTTCTTCTCTGTCTCATGTAAGACGATTAAGAATTGGCCAGGTAGCCAGGTAGTGGTGGTGCACGCCTTTAATCCCAGCACTCGGGAGGCAGAAGCAGGAGGATCTTTGTGAGTTCGAGGCCAGCCTGGTCTACAAAGTGAGTTCCAGGAAAGGCGCAAAACTACAGAGAAACCCTGTCTCGAAAAACCAAAAAAAAAAAAAAAAAAAAAAAGAATTGGCCAGGTGAGAAAACTGTGGAATCCAGATCCCAAAAGAGCTTTGGAGATGTAGATTTTAATGAGCCTGATGAAGTTTAGTATAATACCAGAGATAAAGCAATAGTCAAGATGCTTATGACCTATGAGTATGCAAATACACGCACTGTGGATCAAATGCTATGATTCACAAAAACAACTTACAATTGAGATTCCATCCAAGGCCTTCAGTTCCGGAAGATGAAATATTACAAACAACCGGTAGTTTTCCTGATTCCATATAATAATGTTTCCATACATGTCTAGAATGACCAAGTTGCATAAACCCTAGATAATAAGGATACATTCAATTTATGTATATATATGCAAATCACACTCCAGCAAGTTATTTTTCCAGGGGTTAGACAACCTTAAATTTTAATATTTGAATTATCTATAATCCATAGAATTTGAGTGCTTTTAATTATACTTTAAGTACAAAGGTTTCTCTTTAGACCAGTAAGATGTAATTGTATGCAACATTTCTGTGGTCTATGCTATATATCATGATCCCTTTTAGGATATCTGTATTAGATGTATTATCATTGGCAAAAGTGTAGAGAAAATGTTCATATACTTAAAGCTATATACCTTGGTCATGGAGTAATGGCCTATGAGGTGGTATGTTTATGTATTCACTATGTAAAGGGGATGAAAAACAATGTCACTTGAAAAGAAGACCATCTTGAAGTGCATCATCAGCTCTCTGAAACGTTAGGACAACCAGTCTTATGGGAAAATTTGCCTTTACAGTAAAGGAATGGCCCTGAGTAGGTATGTGAGGAGGAAATGAAGCTTCTCAGTACCATGGTGGGCTTGTTTTCCGCCGACACTGTTGGTACCCAGGTTGCCTCTGTAGCTTTAGAAATATATTGGGGAAGAGGGTGGAGAGAAGGCTGAATTTAGGGAAAGACTGATACAAGTTGTTGGAAGGAAATACTGTCACAGCAAATGAACCAATGTGTCACTAATAGGAAGTGGCCAGGAACTGAAGAGACAATGAAGTCACACATTGCATTTGAAGCTAATCCCTTCAGTAAAGCCTGTTATACAGTAGTCTTGAGTTAGTAGTTTCTTTAGGAAAGTTAAAGAGATCAAATCTGAGTAAAGGGCTGGGGATACAGCTCACGATAGCACGCTTGCCTACATGCTTGAGGCCCCGAGTTTGATCCTCAGCCCAGTACTAGAAAAACAAAAACAAAACAAAGCAAAATCCAATAAACAAATAAATAAAACTGGCCAGAAAAGTTCAGAGAGATAAAACACCATAGGCAGTTATGGAGAACTTGTACTGAGAACAGAACTGTTAAAGAATGCCTGGTTTGGGAACCTTTAGAATTGTTGAAGAAAGCATTTTTGATAGAAGGAAGGTGTCTTAGTTAGGTGACTATTGCTGCAATGAAACACCATGACCCAGAGCACCTTGGGGAGGAAAGGGTGTAGTGGCTTACATATCCCCAGTCACAGTCCATTGAGGGAAACCAAGGCAGGACTCAAGCAGGGCAGGAACCTGGAGGCAGGAGCTGATGCAGAGGCCATGGAAGGGTGCTGCTTACTAGCTTGCTCCTCATGTCTTTCTCAGCCTTATTTCTTATAGCACCCAGGACCACCAATCCAGTGATGGCCCCATCCACAAAGTGTTGGGCACTCCCACATTTATTATTAAGTAAAAATGCCCTACAGGCTTGCCTACAGCCTAATTTTATAGAAGCAATTTCTCAATTGAAGTCCTCTCTTCTTAGATGACTACAGCTTGTGCTAAGTTGACATAAAACTAGCCAGTACAGAAGATATGGATTCTTATATTTGAGCATGAGGATGAGATCGATTTCAAACTACTTCGGAGCCATGACGAAAACAAACAATAGAACAAAAGCTAGTGTGGTTCTCAAATCAAAACAGACGTATAGATTAGTGGACCAGAACAGAAGACCCAAGAACATGCCCGTGCAGATGCAGCACAGCCTTCTGGATCCGACAGATATAAACATTATACGCTGGGTAGAATGACTTCCTTAATATGTAGTGCTGGGAAAACCAGACACCCATGTGTAGAAGAGCAAAATTGATCCCCATTTCTCACTCTGTAAAAGCATCAACTCAAGGGCAAAAGAGAAGACCCAGTGGTTAGGAGCATTGTTGTTCTTGCAGTGGACCCAGGTTCAATTCTCAGCACCCACATGGTGGCTCACAACCACCTGTAGTTCCAGTTCCAGGGGTCTGGTGCCCTCTTCTGGTCTCCACAGGCACCAGACATGCAGGTAGTACACATACATACATGTAGGCAAAACACTCACACATAAAATTAAATCAATCTAAAACCCCCCAAAAAAAACAACATCAACTCAAAATGGATCAACAATCTTAGTGTGGCACCAGAAGTGAAGTTAGAACACTGAGAAAATGCCTGAGGTAAAGATACAGGGAGTATTTAAAAAGTCATCCAAAGCAATGACTTTCTAAGAGGAGTCTAGTATCCAGGAAACCACAGCAAGGTTTGACAATCAGGATTGCATTCGTTAAAAAGACTCCTTCACAGAAAAGAAACATTTACCAGAGTGAAGAGATAGATCACGGAATGAGAGAGAGTGTCTGGTTTAACACCTAAAATACCAAAAATATTAAAAACCAAAAGGGCGAATAATCCAGTCGATACACGGGCACATAAACTGAACAGGCACACACAAATGAAGACATCCAATGGATAGCAAAAGTAGGCACACCGACAAAATAGGAAAATGCAAATCAAAACGACATTGAGATTCTATCTTATCCCTGGCCAAAAAGGCTGCCAAGCAAGAAAGCAAAACAAAGAAAAGAAAAAACAACCACAATAAATATTGCAATGATGTGAGGAGAAAGCAACTCTTTTATGCGATTGATAGTGATGTAAGTTATTCCAGACACTATGGAAATTAGAATAGGGGTCCTTATAAGCTGAGAAGATCTACACACTGCTCCTGAGTGGACGGCCCCCAGTGGAAGTCAGCTGATCATGCCGACAACTGAACATCCATGCTCACTGCAGCACGTGTCACAGCAGTGAAGCTACAGAATTAGCTCCCATGCCCATTAATGGATGAACGGATATAGAAAATATAGTATATATGTATATGTTATGTGGTATTCAACCGTAAGGAAGAACAAATACACGCCATTTGAAGGACTGCAGATCACTATGTTCAGGGGAAAAAAATGATAGCCTCAAGAAGACAAGTATTGTGTGCTTTTGTTCGTATACGGTGTTAGTGGGGAGGGTAGAAGGGGGACTTTTTGGGGTGCGAGAGGAAAGGAGGGACAGGAGTGGGGGAGGGCAGTAAAGGGGGACGACCATGATCAAAGCAAACTGTACGTGCCATACAAATGTCATAATGAAAGAAAGTATCTTGCACAATTAATACATGTTGATAAAAAGTGACCCTATAAATCTATCAGGTTGCCATCATATTGGTATCATTTGTGTACTTGCATTAAGCGAAAGCAAATGTATTGCACTAAACCTTGTTATTTGAGCTTTCTTCTTTATAGTTTTCAACAAACTCTGTTCAGTGAGCGTGGCTTCCATAGTGTACACAAACAGTAAGTGCTTGGAAAAGCAGAAACTTGTTAGCCCAGGCGGTCACCTTTAAGTTGTAGACCTCTTGATTCACAGCTATGTAGTTATTGCTTAGGTACAACTCTATCAGAGTGAACATCTTCTGTAAAGCACTCAGCGATGTGATCCTGTTGTTCTCGAGAGAAAGGGAGTGGAGATGAAGCATGTTATCAAAAGTATGCTTCTCCAAGCCAGTGAGGAGGTTGTTGTTCATGCTGAGGCGACTTAATTTAGTCAGCCGGGCGATGCCTAAAATACCAGCAAAGTCAAGGAGCAGTTCAGACAGTAGGTTAGTTTCAGACAGAATGGGCTAGTCACTGCAGTGATGCTCTTAACTGTAAATTTAAACAATCTGAAGGACTCTGTGACAATAAATCATTCCATCATTTTTTCTTTGTGTTTCAGAAGGACACAGTCATGTGCAAAAGTTCCACTCACGCATCAAATTTTGATTTTGAATTTCTAAGTAGATTCATTTTCTTAGGTGTTAAAGAAAGGCACTTTGTAGGCAACAATTTCTCCTTCAAAAAAATAAAGATAAAATAGCTACCAGCTCTCATAAAATACTGAAGATTAGAAACTAGAGCATAACCCTCTGGAAATTATAGAATCAACTGTATTAATGTCAACCATTTGGCCCAAATTCTCATATAACACGCTTAAAATTATTTTTGGAATGAAGTTTAGAAGCTGGCTACTCCCAGCAGGCTCTAACCCTAGTGTTTGCAATGGAGAAGCATGCAGGCAATGGAGAAGCATGTAGGCAATGGAGAAGCATGCAGGCAGGAGAGAACAGTTGAAAGGAGGAACTTTTTTTTTTTTTTTTTTTTTTTTTTAAAGATAAGGTTTCAACATGTAGCTCAGATTGGCTTCAAATTCACAGTTCCTAGTCCTCCTGACTCAGACACCTGAGTGCTGGGATTACTGGCATGTATCACCACACACCTGGCAGATAAATAAGAACTTTATAGTCATAGTTTGCTACTATATATAAATGATATAAATACTCCTCCATTTCCTCAGCTGTACAAAGGGCATGTCAAACCTACTTCTAAGGGGCTATGGGATTAAATAGAATGATTTTTAGGAAGGGAGAATAAAGACAGTTTTTAACAGGTCACAGAAGATTTCTTTCAATTCTTGCCATTAAAGGCCTCAAGTGAGGGTCAGGAGAGAACCTGAGACAGTCACAAGAATATTTAATTTTGTATATTTTAGAACATGCCATCTAAATGTTGGGCTTTTTAGTTTCAGGTAAGCACAGACTAAAGTGATCTGAAGAATCTAGGATACTTGGTGGGGGAAGGCAACTTCACTTTACTCTCTGGTATAGGATAAATGTTTTTATTTTAAACAAAGTAGTCAGAACATACTCATCTCATTATGAATGAGGCCTTATTAATGCAGAGTAATTGGTTTGTAAGTGAAGTCATAGAAAATGTATACACATTTTCCATTTTTAATTTCCAGTAAGTATAATTTTCATTTTTGTTCTTCTTTACATTTCCAAATATAACCTTAATTCCTTGCAAAAGATAGTGGACTGTTTGATCTTTTTCCAAGTAAGCCTCATCCATACATGTCTTCAACATTACAAATGTTAATGGCCACCTCGTTTCTACTCACTGGGTTTGGTAATAGATGGTAATTCCTCGCATTAGGAAAGGAAAGAGCCACGACAGTCGGCTGCCGCAGCCCATTATGCTTAGAAGTTCATCACCAGTACTGTCAACGATATTCAGGAGACTCAGACCCAGGCCTTATTGAAGCCCCTCTAGACATCCTCCCCTTTGGAAACTCTGTCCTTAGCAGGACTGAGTTACTTGAGACTTGGTGGCTCTTACCAAGGTCCTGTCTCACCTTCTATTTTTGAGATACAGTTGCCATCCAATATGAGCTCCTCCAGGTTGACACAGGACTCCAAGCCTTCCATTTTGGAGAGGTTATTATTGCTGAATGATGCCCATTTCAAATTCTCCAATTTTTCTAGATTTGTGATTTCAAAGAGATGTTGTCCATCTAAATTTAAGGCAGTTATCTATACAATAATTCATATTACATGTTACTTCTGAATCTTGCAAACAAATTCAAAATCATTAGATTTAAAAAACTAACAGAACAGTCCAAATGTGACAAGCAAATGCTAGAATTCCTTTAGGAACTGGAAACTCTTTGTTTACGGGAAAGGTAAAGCTTGAAAAGACTCTAACAGGGATGTTTATTGTGTTATGGACACAATGGTGTGGCAGTTGAGCTCCCGCTGCAGCTACGGGGGGACATCTGCTGGCCAAGAACTCAGTCCCTTTGGGGACAGCCTCAGCTGCAGAGCCACTTTCCCTTGGGGAATAGTCCTTCCAAGGTTGGCTCATTGTTAGTGGTAGATATAAAAACCTGGCCATCTCGGCCTCATTTGGGACACATTTAAAGCATCATTCTGATTCCAGAACTTGGGACCACCAAGGCTTTCACTCAGCCTGCACTGCAGCCCAATATTACCATATATTATACAATAAAAATGTCACCAATATTTCCCATTTTCAAGAGTCCTATTAGCTTCATTGCTGTCCTTCATGTCTAGGAAGGACTCTGAGATGGTCAGATGGCTTTATACAGCCAGAAGCTGTGGGGGTTGTGACTTGTCCCTGGCTGAGGCCTGGATAACTCTCTTATTCTCTTGCCAAAATTCCTGTTCCCTCATCTTTAAAATGTTGGCTTGATCTCTGGCCCTGAGCATTAAGTTGGCTAAAACTTAGTATAAAAATCTACCCTTCAGTTTATAGCCAACCTTTATCCTAAATCTCCAATTCTGTGATAACCACAGTTGAAGACTAGCCCCTGTAACATTTAGAACTTGGCCTTAGCATTTCATGTTTTATACATACATACATACATACATACATACATACATACGGTACATTTATTATCTTAAAAATGATAAATTGCCTCATATGTTTTCTTTATTGAAGCATAATTGACCAATAAAATGATAAATATCTAAGGTATGTCATTGAATTTGATAGCTTTGTGTTATAAATTAAACTGTGATCTCAATTAGATGTGGAATCTAAATAATCAACCTCATGGAGGCAGAGAGAAGATGGGTAGTTTCTGGGGATGAAGATGGGAGCCCGTGGGAATGGAGTTTAAGGGCACAAAGTTTCAACTTCTCAAGAAAAATGAGTTCTGAGGGGTTAAAATATGTTATGACTCCCTTTCAAAACAGTGTATTGTACAGTTGACATTTGCTAAGAAGGAACATCTTAAGTCTTCTTTCCTATTTTACTTTATCTCTTAAATTTTTGGCCCTCATCTGTCTGTGTCCTCTTCATGGTTCACACCAACGCTGGATACAAAGATCCATTTAAATAAGATGGTATAAGGTTTGGTGGAATGAGCTGTTACCTTCGCGTACCAGTTCCCAGTCAGATGAAAATGTGGTCCTAACTTGTAAATCTGTGTCAGAATTTTGGCAGAAGGCCATATACTAAGCATCCGAGGTCTTTCCTCCTTAGAACTAGAGTTCTGTAAGAGAGTTAACTAAGAAAATAGAAAATATGATTAGTAAAAGTAATAGCACACTGATGTTCATTTATACATAGCTAAGAAGTTTTGTTTCCCAGGAAAGATAAATAGCCTAATAAACGATTTTAAATCATTTCCTATCTCTTAAAATATCCTCCAAATCCATGTAAGTTTTAACTTTCAATTTTTCTTGTTTTGCAAACATTGAGGCATTCTAAGATAACACACAACTTCAAGAACGCTTATACTCCACAACACATATAACGACCTCAAGAGACCGACTTATGATCTAGAACAGTACTGCTGTCACGCAAGCTCCTATGGTCCCATCCCAAGGCCCTCTGCACCCGTCCCTATGGCAGCATTTTTGTCTACCATTCACTTGCTTTCTTCTCTCTAGTCTTGTTTGTGTCCATACACAACATGTCATTATACCTTACCTTGTTTGAACTATTTGGAAACCAACAGTAAGTTTTCTGCCACATTGCTCCTTTTCAACATTAGATTTATGCTTCACCATTTAGCTGGAGTTCATTGGTAGTCAGTAGCATGTAAGCTCCCTTTTTGTGACTCTCTCTCTCTCTCTTCCTCAATCTCTTTTCCAGACAAGGTCTCATGTAGCCCAGGCAGTCCTTGAACTTTCTATGTAGTTTAGGATGACCTTGAACTTCTGATTCACCCGCCTCCACCTCCCAAGTGCTGGAGATATTGATGTGCACACCATGCCCGGTTTATGCAGTGTTGAGGATTGAACCCAAGGCTTTTTTGCATGCTAGGCAAGCACTTGAGTACTAACTGAGCTACATGTCTAGCCTTGTATAGTATTCTCTTAATGACTTTGCTGACCGTGAATACTGATGTTTTGTCCCAAGCTTTTGTTATTAAGAACACTACCATGGTGGCTATCCTTGTGTCCTTGTTCATGGCTCCTGTACATACACAAGGTTTTCTTCAAAGAATATAATCCCAAGCAAAATTGCTGGGATATAGAAGTGTGTGTGTGTGTGTGTGTGTGTGTGTGTGTGTGTGTGTGTGTGAGAGAGAGAGAGAGAGACAGACAGACAGAGAGAGAGACAGAGACAGAGAGAGACAGAGAGACATAGACAGAGACAGAAACAGAGTCAGAGAAAGAGAGAGAAAAGAGAGATACAGAGAAAGAGAGACAGAGACAGAGCGACAGAGACAGAGGTAGGAAGTGAAGAGAGGTGTGGGGAGTCAAACAATTTTTCTAAAGTGATTGTAACAATTATAATTACTATTTCATATTCTGGCTGAAACTTACAATTTTCACCAATCTGTAAGATTAAGGATAATTGACTGATTACTGTGGTTTGAACTTCATTTTTCAATTCTAATGTGGTAAAGAATCTTTTTTTCTAAATTAATTGACTTTTCTGATATCCTATCTAGTAAAATGCCTTCCAAACCTCTTCCTCCCCGTCCCCCACTTAGTTGGTCGTCTTTTTCTGTACATATTCTGGATATTGAGAGAGACTACATTTTGACACTTGGGTTGTAAATTTCCTTCCCTGGCATATCACCTATTTTTTCTTTCCTTATAGTCTCCTTTAAGGAAAGGCTGTGCCAGTTTTATTGTAGACAAACTCTATCTTTCATGGTTATGCCTGTTGCTTCCTTCCTTGCAAATAATTTCTTAAACCATGGTCACAAGACTAAATCACAAGTATATTTTCTTCTAAACAATTCTTGGTTTTGCCTTTCGCAGAGGGGTTTTAGTGCACTGGCCCTAGCACTTTCTACTGAGCAGCCAAGATGGTCTGGAAAGGTGAGTCTGTTGTCTGTCAAGCTCTCCCACAGGTTTGGGTCTCTCCTGGGTCTATGATCCAAGCTGTTTGTCTGTCTTTGCATTTGGTGCCAATATCACATCTTAAAAATTTTAGTGGTCTTTGATTTCTATTGGGACAAATCTCTAAGTCTTCCTCAATACGTTAATCATAATCTTATCAATAAAAGTTTTCTTCCCTTCATTTGGAGTAGATCCCAAACAAACTGTCATGTTGTTACGGAACTAACATTTAAGTTTTCCAAAAAAATTAAAGCAAAAGAGCTAGCGTCTTTTTTGAGCATTGGGGATCAAATCCAGGGCCTAACCCGAGCTGAGTAAATGCTTTGTCACTAATCTACAAGCCCAACACCCAGAGCACAGAATTCTTTATCTGTATAGTGTAGGTACTTCTTTCTCCACAGGCTAACAGGCTAGTTTTTTTTTTTTTCAGCCAGTTACACATAATACTGGTACTAAGCAGATACTGCACTAACTACTTTCTCAAAGCCTTCTAAGCTTACTGAATACACAAATACTGCTATTTTTGTACAGGCTCTAGAAAGTTCATGAGACTAGAAAATAGTTGCCATGGAGATATTGGGGGGAGGGGAGTGGCATTTGGGGCTGTTCCAAGGTAACATTTATATGGAGAGGTATGGAGTGGGTCCATTGAAGTAGAAACATCAAGTGGTAAGCACACTATATGTTGATTTTTATTAATATGTTAGGAGAGAATGTCAAACTTAATGAAAGAAAATAAGCACAAAAAGTATTTGTAGGGGTGATTGTCTGTGCTTCACCCCTGAAGTAGTAGGCAGCAGGTAACTGCCCGGGGCAGAGACAGGGACCCCTTAAGACCTGAGATGCCTACATGCTCGCTCTCTTGGCTACCTTGTGATCCTGGATGATGGATGCTGGACTGCAGACCAAGTCAGAGTTCTCCAGAGAACCATGTTGGACTGAGCTTCACCTCTCCTGGATCCTGTAACTGACCCCTTTGCTTGCTGTAAATTTACCCAAAATAAACCTCTTTTGACTATCAGATAAACTATGTGGAATTGCCTCATTAATTTCCACTATAAGCATTATTTGTATGTTCCACCTAACACAAGGAATAGTAACCTACTACTCCAACCTGAGTAATCTTTGCTCCATTAATGAACTTCAGAGCTGCTTTGGTTTCTTCTTCAGAGATGAGGAGTCCATCTAAGTGCGTAAGAGTCTTTAGTCTGCCAATAACACTCAGCCTCAATGTGGTTGGCTTGGGAAAAAAAAATATCAAAAAGTTAATTTACATAAAATATCACATGTATTATGGCATGGGAAAGTAATTCTTTCCTTTCCATATAAGTGAGAACTGTACATCTCTCTTCTTACTACATACTTATAAAACTTAAGACTTAATTTAATTCTTTAAATAATAGTTGGAATTAAATTATGTAAGGATAAACCTGTTTGATTTTTTGGGTGTGAGTCTGCCACTCTGGGAGGGAGATGCCAGGAGCTGTTGCAAAGTGTCTGTGGTGAAAAGGATGATAGGAACCACGGTGGTGATTCCTGCTTATGAATAGGCAGTAAGCCAGGCAGCTCTGTGCTGGACTCAGCATGGATCTCCTGCCTTTGATGCCCAACTTGACTACAGAGAGACAGTGACCATTCAAGAAGTCTGCTTTGGCCAAAGAAAAACATTGTTCATTTTTACTTAGCTTAAAAGAAGAATTTCAATGATATAAATTATTTAATGGAATTGGTCATTTTATTAGTACTTTTAAAATAATAAACATAGCCTTACAAATGTCATTTAGTTATTTATTCTTGAGATGGGGTCTCACTACAGAACATAGGCTATCCTTGAACTCACCATTCTCCTGCTTCTGTTTCTCAAGTGCAGTGTCTGGCTCTATGTATATTTTAGAAGCAATGAAGATATTTAAAATTATAAATTTGGGTTCATTTAAAATACTTGGAGATAGCCGGGCGGTGGTGGCGCACGCCTTTAATCCCAGCACTCGGGAGGCAGAGCCAGGCGGATCTCTGTGAGTTTGAGGCCAGCCTGGGCTACCAAGTGAGTCCCAGGAAAGGCGCAAAGCTACACAGAGAAACCCTGTCTCGAAAAACCAAAAAAAAAAAAAAAAATACTTGGAGATAACCTTAAATGTATACCATGAACAATAATAAAATAATGTTCAAATTTTCTTTCTATAACAGAATATGATTTTATAATTCAGGTTTAATAGGGAACACGATTGCTGCATTTAAAAGAGAATAAATAATGAAAATTGCAAAGTAAACTTATATGTTTATCATCTAGGGTTTAGGGCACATTGTAAAATGCTGTTCCCTTCTTAACAGTATGCTTCCCTCACCGTATTGTATTCTCCTTGGCTCCTGTGTGTCATTACAAAAGCATTCTAGCACATTGACATAGGAATTCTCTAGAAGTTTGCAAATGGCTATGACATCATTCACTCTTAGAGAAATAATGCATTCAAACTGTCACAGGTTACAAGATACCTGGCATGACATCACATTCGATTCATTAGGTCACCACCCTAAACTCACTTATGAAGGACTTTAAAGGAAGCACAAGACACAGGGGTGGCTTGCCTATGTCTGGCTACTATTGGCCAGCAAGGCAGAGGAACGGCTCTGAGCGAGAGCATCTGCTTCTCTAACGGGGTCTGTCACATACCTTCTGCCAGGGGTTGTGCTGAATGTCAAGGGTGAGAAGGCTCGTGGTGTGTTTGCACAACACGTTGATCTCCTCACTAGTCTTCTTCAGCTGGTTCCAGCTCAAGTCCAAATGCTTCAGTTTCATCAGGCCTCTGAATCCCTCCAGAGTTATCACGTGGTTATGGCTGGCATCCAGATACTCAAGGTTATACTGCAGCACATACAGAGAGGAGTCTGTGTTCACCAAGTGCTTTTCTCCACTTCTTTTAACACATCCCATGCTTTCTTCTAAGGCTCACGAAAACCTACACAAGAGTCACTCTGTCATAGCGTAACAATACTCTGGGTCAATTTTTCAGTTAGATTATGGCTTTGACAATGGTGGATTACTGGCAAACACACACACACAATGCCAATCCTTCTCAGAGACTGTAGATGTAACCAACCGTCTTATTAAATAAGAAATACAGAGCCGATTCAGAGAAGAAAGCCAAGAGGTCAGAGCTAAGAGTCTCACCCTTCCTGCTTCAGTGATCCTCTTCAGCCAAGAGAGCTCTCCGAAAGGGACCTACTTCCTGTGTGTATGTCTTTATATAGTCTAGCTGTTCTGCCTTCTCATTGGTTGTAAACCCAAACACATGACTGCCTCGTCACTGCCTGTATGTACCGCCCTCCAGGTCCTCTATGGTATTGAGATTAAAAGCGTGCGCCACCGCTGCCACGCACTTGCTATGGCTCTAATAGCTCCGACCCCTGGGCAACTTTATTTATTAACATACAATTAAAATCACATTTCAGTACAAGTAAAATACCACCACAAGAGACTAAAGCTTAGTTTTCCCATCTCTCTGAACACAGAACTGCGGGGTCTTTCTGCACAAGAGGGCAGGCAAATGGTGACTTTCAGGGCAAGTTGTTACCCACAATTAAATATGTCTTTACACCTAGACTTCTGGTTATAGTTTTGAAACAGCTTCATTCACAGAACACATCCTTGGAAACAGAAATGTAATTTTATTCTATAATTTTCTTTTCTTTTCTTTCTTTCTTTCTTTCTTTTTTTTTTTTTTTGAGGTGCACGGGTCTCTAAAGCTGGGCATGGTATAGGCCCGTGGTGCCTGCTTCTCAAGAGGCAAAGCAAGAGGATAAGAAGTTCGAGGCCTGTCTGCTCTATAGAGAGACTTCAAGGCTGGCGTGAGACACTGGTTGAGAACCTATCTGAAATAAGAAGATGGGGCAGTACTAGCACGTTTACGTAGCATGCACAAGGCCCTAGTTTCAATCCCACCAGCACAGTTAAAAATCACACAGTTTTGAATAATTTTTCAATAATAAATGAACACATTATTGAAAATTTGGAAAAATAAAAGATAAATAAAAGGAAGAAAACTGGAAAGCATTTGTAAGTCTATTGCTAGAAAGAAGTGAAAAATGTTTTTGTTATTTTCACATGTATATTTTCCTATCATTTCGTATGCTTTTGGGATTTTCATTCATTGCATATTGCCCAAAATGATTTTTCTTTTTTTGTTTTTTTCCAGCTCTTTTGATTTTTAAATGCCGAATGCCATTTATTGAAGGCAGGAGGAGATCTTAAATACAGGCTTCCAGCACAATGGGAGAACCCTGGTCTTTTCTGTGTCGAAAACACAGACTGCAAGGCCAGTGCCACTTTGAGATCTTTGGCAGCAGTTAACTCTGCAGCTCACACACAATTGAGCCTGTATGATAATGAGTATTCAGAGACGGGTAATTCCTGGGGGGCGCTCACCAACCTAAGACAGAGCGCCTGTGTGGGCTGGGCAGGTGTCTCCATGACAGGTAAGGTGACCTGCTGACATCCCAAAATGATTTTTCATAGTGGCATATCATAGTAGTTGGTGTCTTACTATTTCTAAGAGTCTTGCCCATTACACTAGGATGTTCCACTCCTATTTGCTAGCAACAACACAACAGACAGGGCCAAGAAGGACACTAACTGCTGTGCTGTGAGCTCTTAGAACCAAAATTTCTCCAGGTAAACAGTGGGGAATGATACAGGATCCGAAGGAAATCTTTAAGACGGACCTGAAAGGCATAATGCGAAGATACAATTTCTACACAGTGGTGATAACCTGTTTTCTGCTATTCTAGACTGTTTGTGCACTGCCTCTGAAATCAATGATTAGAAATCAAATAACTGGTTGCCAACAATAAAATACACTTTTCCTAAGATGACAAAGCCAAACTATCATGGGAGCAATGTGCACTTGGGTGGCAGCACTCCCGGGGCCAAGTGCAGGAGAGGATCTAGCAGAGGGATCTAGGAAGCTGCACAAGGTGGCTTTGGCCCCAGGTAGCAACTCCCCTCTCTTTCTATGAGGGCTGCTTATGAGCAAGCTCTCCTTTAAGAGTACTCCAAGCCACACATCTGCATGGTTTATTTTAATGTATCTTCATTTTATTTGTAGTAAATAATAAAATACATAATAGGGCTACCTAATTAACACAACGACCACCTGTGCTGTACATCAGATCCCAAAAACATGTTTGTCTCATAATTGAAAGTGTCTCCCCTTCAACCTACATTTCATCTCCCCCTAGGACCATCATCCCGCCTCTATGCATTTGATTTTGTGTTTACATTTCAAAAGAGCAGCTCTTACCAAATGGTACACATCATCTAAGCAAGTAAATTCGTTAAAACTAATATTCAGTTTTCGAAGTCCAGTTAACTTGGAAAGATCTCTCAGTTTACTCAAGCTATTCCCGTGTAGATTCAGATTCTGAAGCAAAATAAAATGTAAATTAGAAAACAAAATATGTTACTTTCTGCAACACAAAATCTAGGTGTTAATATCTAACATATTTAGAATAATTATCATCACTTCTTGGCCTTTTGGTTAAGCTCAAGTGTAGAATAATTAAATCATATACAATAATGCAAAATGAGAACACAGTTGTTTTGAATAACATCCAGAGAATGCTAATATGGTAAATAAATATGCTGTGTGATGTTGAAAGTTAAAAATAGTTTATAACAATATCAATGGACCTGGTAGGTGATTAACATGACTTCCTACTTGGTCTAAGTCTGTTAATAATTGGCAAAAATTATTTTTAGTGAATAAACATTTTGATTAAGGTATTTATTAGAAAAGATCTGCTTCTCAGGTTAGCCAGTGAACAATGGAAGCTCTCCTGATTTAAGACATCAGGCAGAAAACCTCACAGGAAAGAGATGACAGGGTGCACCTTGGCTGAGCCACCGGACCAAGGAAGAAATTCCAAGAGTCTTGAAACAGGGGTACAGAATGTCAAAGAAGGACATGACAGACCATCTAAGACCAAGCCTACACCAGAAGGGGGCCCAGATGTTCTCTCTGCACCTCACCCTCAGATACACAAAATGAACGTTACTGCAGTTTTATATTTAGAAGTTCTCATGACGCATACATGCTTCTCTGTCTTCAAAACTCCCTGTTATAAATAATATCAAGTGAAGAGGTATTTTTGGGTAGACTACAAAGTTCAAAAAATGGCACAAGGAAATGTACCGTACAACTAACCAATTACAGTAGGCACACGTGGCATTGTGGGATGAATTCGGGTGTGGACTGTCAGCATGGTCACGCACTGTAATCATTTTGTGCTGTGGATACAACCAATTTCCTCTCGGGAAGAAACAACGCAATTTCTAATAGTATTCAAAAATTGGCTAAATGTATAAGAAAGGCTAAGTTGTGTAGAAGATTCTGAAAATCAATGACAGTTTGTACATCACATTTAATTCATCTCAAACAGAATTCATCTTCTCCACAAGGCTGCCTGGCTTAAGAGTTTCACTATCAATTGATTACCCTTCCCTTTTTTTCCATATACATTTGACTATAGAAATATTTTTCAAGCCAGCTGTCTATTTTTTCACCCATACCAGTGCCTTGTACTGACTGATTCCTCTTTGGACCACGGCTACAGTTCCTACTGGATCTTCACACCACATGCCTGACTGTGCCGTTAAGACCACCCACGAGATACCAAAGTTAGGATCTTTAGAAGTGAGATTCTGTTCCTTGAATTATAAAAACATTTGAATTTGGCTTTCAAAACCTATCCCATAATGTGGCTCCAATCTCGTAAATCTCCTGCCTTGGCTTCACACATCTTCCTTGAATTCCAACACACGCATCCATCTCCCACCATCACAACCCTGTATTTGAGTTAGACTGAAGTTCTCAGTGTTCCTGCAAGATACTAGTATCTTTCAAAACCAAGTTCCTATAAGACAGAGTCTTTTCTCTGTCTGGTAGCTATACACAAGTAGATTTTTCATATCCTTAAAAAAATCCATATAAAACTCGTCTCTATAAAGCTTGCCCAGGATTCCCATCTTCCTACACTGTTTATATATTATTCACTAAATGAAACTGATGTTGTTGAGGTGAGGAGAATAATTTATTCATTTTCAGTACTGTCCAGGTTAGTTTTTGTCAACTTGACACAAGCTAGAGTCATCTGGAAAGAGGGACCTTGGTTGGGAAAATGCCTCCATCAGATGGCCTACAGGCAAGTCTATGAAGCATTTTCCTGATTAATTATTGATGTGGGTGGGCCCATCTCACTTCCAGGACAGGGGAGGCCACTCTGGGTTGGTGATTCTGGGTGGTATAAGAAAGCAAGCTAAGCAAGCCATGAAAGCAAGCCTGTAAGCAACATGCCTCCATGGCTTCTGCATCAGCTCCTGCCTCCAGGTTCCTGAGTGACTTCCTTCACGACGGACAGTAAAGCTTAAGTGGAAATAAATGCCTCCCTCCCCAAGCTGCTTTTGGTCAGGTGCTTGTCAAAACAATAGAAGTCTAATTAGAACAGGAAACTAACAGTTAATTCGCTGCCTTCGACATAGCTAATTCTGAACAAATTACAGGTGAAAAAAAAATGAACGTAAGAGTCAGATTTACACCTGACAACTCTAATTTTAACACTTGATTGTCTATAAGAGAATATAAAATTCAGTGTCATAAGATATAGGGGTATATTTTTATTTTATTTTTGTAAATTTTGTTTCCTGATGTCATAATAATACGAGTGTTTAAAAGGAAAATAAGAAATGCACTGTGAATTTCTTTTATCATACTGACACACACACGACGAGGACAGAAAAGACAAAGTGTCTCGGTATTCCTATGACGATAGTGAGGACTTCCTAGCAGTCCTGGAAATTCCTGGTTTTGTGCAGTATAGTCAAATCTGAAGTGAAAAAGTCTAGCTGTTTAAGTGTCAATCAAAGCAGTCATCTAAGTGTGAAGAAATCCCCAGCAGGTCAAGTGCCATGAAATCTTATTTGCTCCTATTTTTATTTTTATTTACGACACCCACTTTTTGTGGGTGTTTTCCTGGTTTTTATTTAATCCCTTTAAGTTTAGAGGAGCACATGCTGCCGGGTTCAGTCTAATCAAGCACATTCATCTTTAGGTCTCTAAAAGATGTGGCAATTTCATTACTTAACTTTATCATGAAAGTTTCCCGCTCTTACGTGGAAATCTCAGCCTTGTAGTTCAAAGCATTTTTCTCAACATGTTAACCGAGAAGACCACTTCTGTAATTACCATTCTGCACTTTGACAGCTCAAGAGACGATAAGGCCATGAAGCCCCCATCAATAATGACAACCAGTTAAGACAGACTTAACCTCATCTAGACTTAAATATCCAGTGGATGGTGACAATCCAGTTCCATGAACACAGTCTCTTGTAGCACTCTGAAAGCTATGTTTTCTGAAATTAGTAATTTAGGAAATAGAACTGTCAATTTCCCTTATTTTCAACTTTGCACTCAGTTGCTTTAGGATTTTCTTCTTGAACCATGAATCTAGAAATGTAGCACTGGAGTCATGTAATTAAGTTCAGAGATCAAAATCATTTCTGCGTCTTTACCTGTATTTCAGATCCCATGGTACCTACGGTGAGATACTGCAATGTGGGAAGAAAACTTGGTTTCTCAAGGTGCATCCATTTACTACTTCTGCAGGTTCAAACAAGCAACCCAGTGTCTCTGGTATACATTTGTGTGTGTGTGTGTGTGTGTGTGTGTGTGTGTGTGTGTGTGTGTGTGTGTGTAAGCATTTTGAACTAGTAACTAAAGACCACCTAGTGTGTGCCACATACTGTACTGGATATTGCTGGAGTTGATGGCAGTCCATGGAATTCTTATGGGTTATTTAAGAAAAAGCCACCTGCCCTTTCCCCAAGATACCTTTGTGTCTAACTTTTAATTTTTTTTTAAGGTAACACTGGGCTGATAAGAAATTGTGTCAACAGCTTTAACTTGGCCTATAAGCTATTGGCCAAGTTAAAGACTTTGGGACCATTTTAGAGTAATGGCAAAACATTTGAGGATTTTAAGTAGGATTATCTGAGATGGGACGGAACTAAAAAGATCAGATTGGCATTTTGAGAAGATTATACGAGGTTGAGTGAAGCAGGCATTGGGGCAGGACTTTGTTGCACCTCCCAGAACCTCCCTCCTATTGATTTTTGAAATATGATACCCTGTCTATTTTAATCTATCCACCCACTTAGTTATTTATATGTAGATGTGTGTGCCATGGCACACATGTGGCGGTCAGAGGACAACTTGCAGAAGGTTCATTCTTCTACATGTGGTTCTGGAGTTCTGACACAGGTCATCAGGTTTGGTGGCAAGCACCTCACTGGCTGAGCCATCTTTCCTGCCCTGAATTTTATTTAGTTATATATTGATTAGCAGACCACAAGGTGAGTGGTAATTCCTGGAGTTCAGAACTGCCATGATAGAGGTCAGAAGGCCTGGTTAGAGGGCTACGACAGTAGAGTAGGTCAGAGATGGTGGTAGTCTGGAAATCATGGTAGCAGCACATCGGAAACTGGTAAGTCTCAAAGTCAGAAACACAGGTAGGTTGCCATCTCAAGTAGAGTCAACTCAATGTACGTATGTCACTCTAATCAGTAGCTCAAATTCTGCTGACACACATGTAAAGACAAAGCTTTCCTGTACCCACTGATTAATACCAGATGCTGATTAGAAACTTTTTGCTTTGTTGATAATTCAGAATAAAAGCACTTGCTGCCTGAAAAGCCACCTCATGTGGCTATTGAACATCCAACACGTGACTAGACTGAATTAAGACACGGTATTGGTAGTAAATACACTCCAAAATTAAGAATTAATACTAATATGTCTCCTTAATAAATTTTAATAATGATGGCATGTTGAAATATTGTATATATTTGGGTTAAATAAAATGTATCATTAAAACGACTTTTGCCTTAACAAAATTGTGACTAAGTCATTGGAGAACTTAAAAAGACACACGTGGTTCTCACTTGGTTACTACTGGAGAACCCTGGTCTAGTCTGCACACAAAGAGGGGCTGACACTTTTCAATCAAATTATACAATTCCTGGCAACAGGAGATAGTAACCTAGTAACTTTAGACTCCATAAACTAGATTCAAACTTCAAATTCAAGTTTCCTTTTTCCAATTTTATAATACTCATAATACTCACCACAATATGACTGTAAACGTTAGTCTTAGCAAGGGAAATTATCGTCTTATCATCCAAACTAATGAGTTTTGGGCGGGGTTTAATCTTGGGCTCCATCTTCATAACCTCATCATCAAATTTCAAATCCTGTGAGAATACTAATCCTTCAGAATATTTTTTGCCTTCTTCTAGAATAACAGTGTTTAATGTAGAAAATAAAGAGTGAACTTTGACCTAAAAAATATTTCAAATGTTGAAAATTCAGTTGCTTATTTGTTACTTTAAAAACCAAATAGGCTATATAGAAAAGAACTGACTTTTGAAGTTATATAATAACATCATATCTAGGATAATAAAAATCCCTTTAGTAAATATATAAGCATAGACCAAGATTATGAGCTAAGCATGAATGTGTCCATTCTCACCCATAAAGATTTCTTAAAACTGACAGAGGATAAATTTAAAACATTTTATGACAAATAACACAAACAAGGGGTGAGAAATGATCAGACACGAAGCAGAAGGGTTTGATGTGGCAGGAAAGAGCAGAAATGTAACTTCTTAGCAGAAACATGCAGATGATAACATTTAAGAAATGGAATGTTTGGAATAAATAAATAAAAGCAGGAAACTACTCTCTGTAGTTACCGGGTAAGTAGTTACATCAGGAACTGTGAATGAGCAAATGAACCTGACCCTAGAAGAACACAAAATAATTAACCAGAGTATATTTTTTAAACCTAGGAGAATACGGGATCTATAATAAAATAATAAGACACTACACAAAAGAATAGGATAAATACTACAATAAATACATAAGCAACTACTAAAATAAAATACTTAGTAAATATTAAGAAGCCAAATGAATATAACAACAGATTAAATTGTCAGCCTGGAAGCCAGTACTGAGGAAATATTTCAGAGCAAAGAATTAAGAAGTGCAATGTGAGAGAAAAATAGAAAGTCACCTCCACATCTTTTAAATGTGAGTTCAGAGGCCCTCCCCCAGTGTGGATTTCAGAAGACTTAACAGAGAACTGAAAAGAAGAAATAATCAAAGGAACTAAGAGAAGATAACTTCTCAGAAGTAAAGACAAAACTCAGTTATTACAGAGCTCTTCAAGTGGTGACCAGGCAAGCATGATGTCTTGCTGGCATCGTTAACCTGGGTTGCCCTTCCCTTGGCTTCTTCACTATGTGAGTTAATGAAAGACTGCTTATTATTTGTCTGAGGTTCTGTGTGCTTGACTGGTAGAATCCCCTTGTGAGAACAGTAAAAAAAATATAAAATGCCCAGAATTATATTTAATACAATGTATTAAATATAGAGAGAGGAAAATGTGAGAGCATACTCGAATGAAGTAAGCCATCATGTTTCTAGACAAGAAGACAAATGATTCAAAATAATTAATTCAGGGCTAGAGAAGTAGTGCAGTGGGCAAGAACGGTTGCTGTGCCGGCACAAGGACCTGAGTTGTAATCCCCAGCACCCACGTAAAAAGCTGAGCACGGCTATGTGTGCCTGGAACCCCAGCACTGGGAGGCGAGGCTGGGCTATCCCCGGAGCTTGCCAGCTACCCGGTCTAGCCCAAGTGCTGAGTGAGCTTCTGTCAGTGATAGATCCTGTCTCAAAGTAACAAGGTGGACTTAATAGAAGAAAACACCTGATGATGTCCTGTGCTGGCCTCCATACACACACACACTCATGTGCACACACTACATCACAAACCAACACACACAAACACACAAATAACACACACACACACACACAACCAATTCATCCTAAATAAGGTTTCAGACTTAATACAATTTCAATCAAATCTTATAACAGAACTGATAAACTTATTTAGAGTTTGGGAAAAATGGTCAAGAATTTTTTAAAAAGGTGTTTTTAATAGAAACTGCTGAGATGATTCTAATTTTTTTTAGGAAACAAAATATTCAAGAATAGGTAAGAGAAGTTCTTAAAAGATGGGGCAAAAAAAATTTATCCTATCCTATATTAAAACACATTATCAAGGTTATATTTAACCAAAACAAATGTTTTTAGAGTCCCAAGTTAGATAAATCAATCAATGGAACAAAAAAGAGATTGAACATGAATTCCTTAAATTTTAAAATAGTTATAATGAGAGAGAATACTTCAAAACATAGCAAAAAGGACAATGAGTAGATAGTACCCATTAATATTTAATAAAACAAATGGATTAATCCTTCAAATCACACAATGTAAGGTAATTTCTAGGTAGTATTTGAAAAGCTGAAAGTTTTAAAATAAGCTAAATAAGCACTGAGGAAAAACATATTTGTTATAAGATTTTTGAAAAAAGATACAAAATTAAGAATCCACACGGAGGAAGATTAAGAGAACTGAAATTTGAGAAATTCACAAATTACAAATTGAAATGTTAACTTTTTGTTACAAGTGAAATTAAAAGACAACAGAAAATATTGGCACTATAAAGTATTAATATCTACAATATATAACTGTAAAAATCAGTATGAAAACAAGTCTCACAGAAGTGACCCAAGAATTTAACAGATGGCTTGTAATATTGTGAATAATTTTAAGCATATGATGTTTGAAATATTCTGCTTTTTGCTTAAGAAAATGGAAAAAATTTGATAGGGTACCATGCTGGCAAGGATGCAAGAAAACAGGGTCTGCCACACTCTGGGGGACACGTGTAAAACGGTCCAACCTCCGTGGAGGAAATGGGCAATGTCAAAATTTTAAATGTCTATATCTGCTGACTTTCCATTTTTTCAATAGATCTCTCTTGCATAGGAACTTCTATAGTCATATAAAGACATATATAAATAATCTCTACTCAAATATTATTTTAAATAGTTAAAACTACATACAACTTATATTTGTTATCAACACAGGAGAATTTGAATCAGAGTTTTGCTGGATAGTATACAGCCACAGGAAGAAGAAATTATACATCTATGTAACAACATATGTTCACAATGTACTGTGAGAAGCAAGGCATAGAGCTTGATTCTACTAGCTAAGACTGTGTGTTGTTGTATATGTCAACAGAAAAGGATTGCAGACAAACCCACAGAACTGTTAGGTGGATGCGCTGGTAAAGAAGGGGCAGGAGGTTAAGGGGGAAGTAGCTTCCCATGTTTACTCTATAGGCATCCACGGGCTTTGAATCTTTCCCAGTGATATTACATTTGTATAATACTCCTATAATATGCTCACATAACAAAAGCATTCAGGTGCCATAATGATATCCTTTGGAAATGCAGTCCTTTACAGAACAGCCATTGTACATTCTCTCTCTCACACACACATACACATACACACACACACACACACACACACACACACACACACACACACACACACACAAAGCATGAATAGGCACATATAATACAAGCTCAGCATAACACTACTGTTCTGTTGTTCAACTCCCAGTTTAGGAATCCCTGCTTGTAAAAATGGACAACAATGCGTACCACTGTGAGATACTCAAATTCAACGATGTACTCTGGCAAAACAAGGTCATGGTCAAAGACAAACCACTTGTACTGCCGATAGCCACAATCGCAATGTCTTTGTCCCAGGATAGAATCTAGAGTAAAAAAGAAAATCAAGCAAGACAAACATTCAAAATACAGTAAACCTTTTTACCCCAGGACGAATGAAGAAGTAACAGTAAGGCCTTACCAACAATTTCCCACAGTTATAAAAACCCTCCCGTACCCCAACACGGATGTCAGAACCGTTACAGCCCTTTCTCCAGAGTAGGGTTAATGCTTATGCTTACCATTTTACCAATGAATAAATGACCATGGAGTTTTGATAAATATAGCACTCTAAGACCTTTATTAAAGGTTCCTATTTTAATCATTTGAAAACTAATACACACATACACCTGTATGTACACACTTGCCACACTCACACATGAAAACCTCCGTCTCCACGGCTTCTGCAGCCATAGATTCAAAAACTGCCAAGCAGAAATATTTTTTTTTTTAGAAAAATGTCTGTAGTGAACACGTATAGATTTTTTTCTTGTCATATTCCTGGAATAATGAACATAGTCATAATTTGCAGCCTTTCATTTGTACTGTATTAGGTATTAGAGCAATATTGAGATAGTGTAATGTACCCAGGAAGACTGTATAGGTGACATGCATACACTACACTGTTTGATATGGGCTTGAGAATCCATGAAATCTGGTATCTATAGGTGGTGTGTGTGTGTGTGTGTGTGTGTGCGCGCGCGCGCGCGCGTACGCACAAACTCTAGAACTAATTCCTCAGATACTGAGAGTTGAATGTAGGTGTGTAAAAATAATTAAAATTGGTGAAATAAATCACACACACACACATACACACACACACACACACACACACACACACACACACACACACACACCTCATTGATGTAACAGAAAAATCATTAGTATCCAGAAGTAGGTTTTTATAGAAAAGTTTATAGGTCTTGTTAGGTAGAGGTTACATCATTAGCTATGTTATTATGTATTAAGTAGAGATGCTTTGTATTGAGAGTTATGAAACCACACATTTTTCTTTTTGGCACCATACCTAGCAAATGTCTCTGAGGCATGAACACTGAGTTAACTGTGGGGTAGTTGGCTTTACTGATGGGCTCCTGTTCACGAGCCTGAACACTCTGGCCAAGGAAAACCTTCGAAATGAGGATGGTGCCTAAATGTGAAAAAGGAGACATAATTGAGCAAATATGACCTTAACCCATCTCCAGTGTAATCTTTACTAACCTCAAGCATGACGTAATGTCCTGTAAAGGCAGAGGCCATAGCTCTCTTGCTTGCTACTATATAGTACACAGCACAGAACTTGATTCCAAATAGGAGCTAAGACATATCTGTTAAAGAAATGAACTGGTCACGAAAGGAGCTTCGTGACCGCAGTGAACTCAGCTTTAAGTGCCGGGCACGGTGGCTCACACTTATAATCCTGGCACTTAGAAGGCAGAAACAGGACTCTTACAATTTCATTTATTATTCTTATTTATGTGTATATGTATGTGTCTGAGTGTGGGTTGTGTACATGAGTACAGTGTCTGTTCCAGAAGAGAGTGTTGGATTCCCTGCAACTGGAGTTATATAAGGTGGTTCTGAACCACCCAGTGTGGATGCTGGAACTGAGCTCTGGTCCTCTGGAGGAGCAGCCAGTGCTCTTACCCACTAAGCCATCTCTCTAGTCCTGTTTTTTTATTTTCACCATACATAAGATACAAAATGTAAATCAGGAGAACCTGCTTGAGAAAATGCATTTTGGGAGGATTAAGTAAATAGTAAATATGAGATTTTTCTAATAATGGGAATGGAAAAGAATAGTTTAAAAGTGTCAGAGTTTTTCAAGGAAAGAGTTCTTGATTTTGCAATCAGCTGGAGTTTCTGAGGCTATTTAACTACATGAAGGACTGGAAATCAGGCACAGTTTACAGTTGGCCAGGAAGCATCCCTGAGGAACTGTGGGCTGGATCCTGGAAGGCTAGTCTCAAAGACTCAGTAAGTGCATGAGTGCTGCCAGGGCTTAATCCTAAGGCTTGAGGCATGCCAGGCCAGGCAGGCATTCTACTACCATGCCACAGTTCCAACCACAGCAGGTGTCCTGACTGAGCACAAACCACAGTGCTGCCTATCCAATGCTCAGTCAGTTTGGTGATTAAGAGATTTTTAAAAAAAATAGGTCCCCTTAATCCCTAGCCTGATTATCTATTCTCTTTATTGTATGTATCAATACTTCATATTTATACTTATTACAGTAACTTTAACTTTGTATTTGATTACATGGTTATTGATATTTGGAAGCACGACACAGCAACTGTTTTAGACAAACCCAACAGTGCCTAACATACAGTAGCACTCAATTAGTTCATATGGAACCAAGGGTAAACGGTGGAAGGCGGGGCAACAGAAGGCTTGATAAGCTGGCCTTTTCTCCCAACCTGGAAATAAACTCTTCCAGAGGCGGCTTGCAAGTTGGTTCTTGTTCTTACCCTGTGTTGTTGGAATTTAGCAGAGTCGCTGTATCTGGGATAGACATTAGAGTGAACAGTCGTTTTCTAGAAGTACTATGATCTTGAAGGATCAGTGTGGTAACCAGTCAAGAATCTTTGTGGAAAACAGTGACTGCTTTCCGTGATTTCTAGAATTGTTTTACTGAAGGGGCGTTGCAGCCTTTGTATGGCTTTGGTCACAAGACACCCTGCCACACCTGAGGCTTGGATTATTGTGTATTGCAAATGATGCATACATAATAAAGGACTAAAATCATGAGGAAATGTGATGCTTTCCTTTAGTGAGATATCTAGATTAGATTAGGGACCTTGCTATGGGAAATACTTTACCCCAAAAAACAACTTTGTGTAATAATAAATATTATTTATGATAATATGTATGGCTGGTCAGGGTTCAGTCCATTAGAAAGGCTGGACCTTCCTGCCACATAGGCCTTAAGAGTTCATCTTGGAGTGACTTCTTTCTTCAACTGACCCCCACACAGAACACCCCGACAATGCTGACGTCTATTTAAGTGCAAGGACAGTATTTAGTGACTGAATACATTAGCATGCAGCTTGCCTTCTAGAGAACAATGTCTAATCCACACGCCTCCCAGCCTGTCTCCTGCCGACAGCAAGTCAATCAGGTGTTCTTACCACCTTAGAGTGATGACTCAGATCAGCGGAGTTCAACCTTCCTCACTACTTTAGCTGATTATTTCACACACAAGACGGTTCTTTGCTCTTTCTTGTGAAGGTAGTGTGTGTAAAGAAATATACGTACAGACCTCTGGGTTCATTCTTGCGATGCAACATCACAAGAATGAACCCAGACTCTGAAAAGCATGTGTAAGTTGGATGAAATTTCTGAGCAGCAAAGACTCTTCTTCCTAAGGCGGATACACAGTAAACACTGAGTGTTAGCTCTCAGTGCAGATAACACAATAGAAACACGACACTATATTGTGAGGATGATGTAAAACAGTTCGGACAGAATCTCTTGGATAAAACCGAGAATGGAGACAATTCGGAAGAGACTGAGGAAGCCGTCTGGCGACTTCAGAAGCACTGTCTGTATTACCGTGTCTGAAGAGGTCGCAGTCTGCCAGACTTCTCATCTCCTCCTTACACTTCTGCTGGAGGAACTCAATTCGGGGGCACTCACACATACTGAGGCTGTTCACAAGGGTGACGGCTTCGGTCCTGAGAGGGGGCTGTAAGGGGAAAACAAATCTGAGGGCTTTCTTCTTCTGTTTTCACAAAACTGACAACATCCCCACTTCAATGCAGATGGCTTCTCATTTTATGTTTCTGCGTCTGCCAAAGCAATCTGCAGAGAAATAGATAACCTCCAGGTGCAGCTTCATTATGCAAAGCCATTTAAATAATCAAAATTCACATGCAAATAGGTCTATAAAGAAGTGATAAGGAACAAAATTTGCTCCCAGGAAGCCAGCCAGGGTCAAGAGCAGCCACAGGACCATGTGGTGCAGGGCCCAACAGCTTTCAACACGGGCTTGTGGAAAACTCTTGTTAACTCCAGAAAGAAGGCCCCATGGAGGTGAGGTACCACATCAGTGACGGATCCCATTCATCTCCATGTATGCCATACAGTCTACAAGATTTTCCAGAAACAAACCGTTTCTAATTGTGCACAAATATCAGCTTTTGTGTGACAAACTTCACTTCTTCCAAATTGTATCAGGAATAATTACAGACCACTCTAAAGAGCAAACAGATCGCTGTTCTGAGTAAGAAAATTAGAGCAATAAGAGATTATATGAGTATCTAAAGATGGGTGTAGCAATTGGCAAAGTCATGACTTGAACTCAGATTTATTTGTCCTTGTCACAACCTCAGAGTTTTAAATTTATCATTAGGTTTTGAGTAACAGCCAAAATTATATAAAATTATGTCTTTTCTGAAATCTCTCTCTCTCTCTCTCTCTCTCTCTCTCTCTCTCTCTCTCACACACACACACACACACACACACACACACACACACACACATACACACACTGAGGTTTCTTTTTTCTTTTTTTCTAATTGAAACCCAAAGTTACCCAAAGAAGTTCTTTAAAAAACTAAATACTTAAAGCGTCATTCCTGGGACTACAAATTCCACACTTGAGCAAATGATCTTCTCACCCTGCAGTGAACATCACTGCTTAATTACAGTCTCGGTGCATAGCATTGGGAAGCTTCACTCTAACCTTGGCTCTCAGGGGACAGAGAGAAGACAGGAACTATGAACAGGAACTGAGAATATAAGACATCTCAAGATACATCAGACAAGGCACCCTTCTTAAATGAGTAGAAAGCAACAGTGGACCGGTGGCTTGGGCTTTAAGACAGGAGGGAATCCAAAGAGAAATTTAAAGGAAAATTATTTAAGAGCAGAAAATGTACTAAGGTACATACATACATAGGAGTTATGACCATGTCCACTCATTCAGTACACTTTTACTAAGAATTTGGTCTATAAACAGTCCTTGCCCTTGCGCACTAGTAGAGAAAGGTTTACAAATGATGGCATTACAGCACATTGAAAGTTCTGGAATAACAAGTGATTGCTACTCAAGGAATTCAGTGCTTAGAAATTTGGAGGGTTAGCCAGAGTTTTCCATTCCTGCTCTTTAATCTGCAGCACAAGGGCGGTTCAAAGATAAGATGCTCCCTTTAAAAGCAGGGAGGAACGTCATCCTATCCAGCCTGCTGCATGTGGACCAAGAGCCAATCAATTTTATTCTTAAACTTGTCAAGCAGTTGTACTTATTCTAGAAACCATGCACAACATATAAAGCAATGAAATAAAAAGCAGGAAATTTGTTTTTTTGAAAACTAAGTGGAAAATTGAGTGAATTTTGTTGTATGATTTTTGTTTGTGTTCTGACAAATAAAGCTTGCCTGGAGATCAGAGAAGCAGAGTAACAGCCACTAGAGACCTCTCTATGAATTCTCAGACTGAATAGGGGGAAATCCTATCTCCACCTGCCTTATGTTCCTGTCTCCACCTCCTGATTGTGCTGGGATTAAAGGTGTGAGCCTTCCAAGTGCTGAGATCAAAGGCATGAGCCTTCCAAGTGCTGGGATCAAAGGCATGAGCCTCCCAAGTGCTGGGGTCAAAGGTGTGAGCCTCCCAAGTGCTTTATTTGTCACAATACAAACAAAATATCACACAACAGGAATTTGGTCAAGGTTAGTTGTTTAAAATCGCTGCCAAAAATGTTTGGGCAAAGCCAAACCTAAGTTGGTGGGAGCCAAGAAGACTCCTACAAGCTAGGTGACTCTTGGGCTGAAGATGATGTTTAAGAACCTAAGGACCATCCAAAGTAGAATGAGATGTGGTTACGGCCAAGGCCAAGACGTCTAAGAGGGCCGATTTCACTGTCGAAGATTTAAGCCCTACACACAAAGCTGACAAGTGTATGTAAATCTACATTTGAAGTTCAAGGATTTGTTGGGTTGTATATAGTTTGCCATCTCTCCCCCACTTACTTGGGACCGAACCTATTTGCCTCCTGACGCTAGCTAGGTAAATGCTCTACCATGAAACTGTAATCCCAGGATTCCATTTATTTTTTATTTTATTTTGAGACAAGATCTCAGGTAGTTGTCCAGAATGGCCTTGGACTTGTTCTGAAACCTAGGCAGGTCTTGAAATTGCAATCCTCCTGTCTTAGACTTGCAGGCAGCTGGAATGAGAGGCCTGGTTGTTCTTTTTTGTCTAGTTCTTAATTTTAATTGACTTAAAAAATTTAACTTGCAAATTAGGAAAGAGTGCTCCAACTGTTTAAGAATCAGGGAAAGCTACAGAGAGAAGAACACCCTTAGCTGAGTCTTGAAGGATGAGAAGGTTTGGCCCAGGAAATGAGGATTCATTATTTTACCAGAGAGAAAATTGGTGCTGAGTTAGGAGACTCTCAAGTACAGCCCACACTTCATCTGGCCACCTGCTGTATCTGGTAACAGGAACATAGACTGAAGCCAGGTTCTTCTTCTCTGCTCCAGCCCTCTGGTGTATAAAACACAAGCAACCTAAGACATGCTTCTTGTCCAAACTACTTATCAGAGCCCATCTCCTGATGCATAACCCAAGTGCTTATCTCTATTCACTGGGTGCCATTGTGGTATAGACATTTAGCTCATCTGGTCTTCTGGGTGCTTCACAATGACAGTGCTCTCATTCCTCTGATCGTCTCAAGGTGAGTAACTGATGGTATTTGGAGAGAGAAGACTGTAAACTTTAACCTCATAGTATTCCCATGTGTAGAGGCAAGGAACAAAAGGAAAATGATGGCGGAACAACCAAATGTGAGAAGGATAAGTCTGGAGAGATGGCTCAGTGGTTAAGAGCAATTGCCACTCTTCTGGAGAACCTGGGTTCGATTCCTAACACCCACATGGCAGCTCAAAACTGCCTGTAACTTCAACCCCCAAGGGCACCTGAATGCATATGGTGCACATACACACACTTAAGTTAGAAGGACAGAAATAGTGTAGTACGAGTGTCTTAGTTACTATCGCTGTGATGAAACTCCATGACCAAAATCAAGTTGGGGAGGAAAGGGCTTTTTCCACTTCCACTTCCACATCACTGTTCATCACCGAAGGAAGTCAGGACAGGAACTCAAGCACCGACAGGAACCTAGAACAGGAGCTCATGCAGAGGCCACGGAGGGGTGCTGCTTACTGGTTTGTTCCCCATGGCTTTTCTCAGTCTACTTTCTAATAGAACCCAGGACCACCAGCCCAGGGATGGCACTACTCACAATGGGCTGGACCCTCCTCCATCAATCACTAATTAAGAAAACGCCCTACAGGCTTGCCTACAGCCCCATCTTATGGCAGTATTTTCTTAATTGAGGTTCCTACCTTTCAGCTGACTCTAGCTTGTGTCAAGTTGACATAAAACTAGCCAGCACAATCATGGATGCCAAAGGAAAGCTTGAAAAAGGAGCCAGAGGGAGGAACTGATGTGTCTTATGGTCCAGATCATAATGGTAAAATATCAGAAACTATCTATGTTCTAAGCAGTAATCCAAGGACTTTTCATGTAAAGCTTAATAACCCAATTTGCTGATTGAGTATATCCAAAATACTGTCATTTCAACACATAATCAACCCAAGAAATGAGAGCCATTTTTTCACACTAGGAAAGCTGGTGTTTAAACTTTCGGCACATGGGTTTAGACTAGCCTCGCTTCCACTGCTCAGTATTCATAGGAAGATGGAGATTGCCCCAGTTAGCAGAGCAGCACAGACAGCTATTGGGAGAATTAAAGGAGACAGTTTGTCTCTCAGGAGAGGCAGGGGATTAACCACTCAGCACAGTGTCTGGAGGGCAGTGAGCACATGGAGGGTGTGAGCATCCTCACCCCACCTTCTGTGCCCATGATAGCTCAGAGTTCTCTGGAGTGAATGTGAGCATTCACTCTGCCTTCTAAAACCTTAAATTCCTCACTTCCTTCTTATTTCCTTTCAAGAAGTCACCACGAAGACACTCACTAACCTGCCAGAATCACATCCTCCTGTGGCCTGGGCTGTCACAGTAGCTCTCTAAGTCAGTGGCTTGCCATCTGCTCCTACTCCCTCTGATCCATTCCCCAGAGTTCTCTCCAACCCCCGTGTGTGTGTGTGTGTGTGTGTGTGTGTGTGTGTGTGTGTGTTCTGTATGTGGAGGACATAGGCGGACACTAGAGGTGTCCCCCTATCACTCTTGACATTATTTTTTGAGACAGGATCTGTCTTACTTGCCCTTGGCTAGACTGGAGGCCAGCAAGCTCCTAGAACTCCCCTGTCTCCCAGAGCTGGGTTGACAGGCATTTACCACCATGCCCAAGGTTTCCTCAGGTGCAGCAGATGGAATTCAGAACCTTGCAAAGCAAAGACTTTACCAGTTGAACTGTCTTCCCAATTCCAGAATACATTTTTTGGTCATTCTTTTTTATTATGGTAAAATACACACAAATAAAACTGACCATTTTAACTGTTTTTTAAGCACAGAATACAGTGTCATTGGTTATTTACATTACTGTGACGCCATCATCCCCATCCATGGCCAAAACTCATTCCTTAACTTGACCTGAAACTCTGTACACAATAAACAGTAAGTCTTTGTCCCTCACCTACCCCAGGACCTGGTGATGTCTGTTCTTTATTGTATCTTTTTTCTTTTGTGTGGTGTAGTACTTAAATAATATTTTTCCCTTGGCTTATTTCACTTAACATGGTGAAATTTCAAAGTTCTTCTGTGTTGTATGGATTCATATTGCAGACTCTCATCTCTTTATATCTCTCTTTATAATCTACTGTAAATTAATGGCAGTTTTTATCTAATCTCTCACCTATTGATTGATGTGCATTTGGGTTGTTTCTACTCTTTGAATGTTTAATAATGATGCATGAACTTTGGTATATAAATACCCAAGAGCATTTCAACATACTCTTTAAGTCCTATTAACAACTTTGCAAAATACATACCACTATCACTTTCATTTACAGGATAGACAGAAACAGGCACAGGAGATAGGCGTGCAGCTCCGTTGGTAGAGTGGGCCTGGCACACACAAAGCTCTACTTTTGGTCCCCAGCACTGTATAGACTAGGTGTGGTGGTGCATGCCTTTCACTCCAGTGCTTGGGAAGTGGAGATGGGAAGATCAGGAGTTCAAAGTCATCTGTGGCTACACAGTGAAAAAAGAAGTAGGCAGAGGCAGGTGACATGGTACGTCGGGAGAGGAGTGACGTCGGGGTTCAAACCCAGCAGTGTCCTCACTTATGTGGGCCACGGTGTGAGGTGGGTTGGAAGCCGTGCTCTGTAGCAGTGGGCTACAGCTGCCTCATCGGGGCAGTGCAGGGAAGTGGGATGGGTGTGTTGGAGCTCAGGGGCCCAGCGATGAAGTAGTGTCAGCAGTGAGGACAGAAAAGTAGAAAGGAAAGAAGCAGAGGCAGGAAATGGAGAAAAGAAACCTAGGTGACAATTAAAAAGCACAGTCAAAGTCAGCTAACGGGATGTTTTCAACATGGAGAGTTGGCAGTGGTACTGGAGGTTCCCAATAGTTTTAGAGCCAGTTAAATAAGGAGATTTCAAAATCACCGGTCAAAGTTAAGACTCCAAGAAGAATGAAGTCAAGTCAGGCAAACAAGCCATGGTGGACTTCCTGTGCCGTCCTTCTCTGTGCCTGTCTACCATGTCACCAAGCTTCCAGGGAAACAGGAGCAGAAGCGTGTTATCACCAGGGACGCAGGGATGGGGAGACACGCTGGACTGGTGGCAGACCATGGGTTCTAGCAAGAGGATTACTCACAGTGACGGACACTACCTTGCTTGTCTCACTCTCCTGGAATCCCTTTTCAAGGATTTGCAGCAGGTGCTTCTTCTTCACTGTCACTTCAGGATCAAAAACATAAAACAGACACTCCAGCATCTTCCGATAGCTCCTCAGAACAATGGAGACAGGAGGAGGTAAGTTAACTGTGCACCCACGGTGAGGCTCCTGTTTGCAATGGGTAGTCCAGTCATTTAAACCTCCAGCGCCCCTATCCTACTCTCAAAAAGCAGGCCCAGTGTGGACAAATCATGAAGCTGTCTCAGCCGTGGAAGATGCAGGACCAGAACAATTTACTAGCAGGGTGTGTTTTTCATACGGTTAACTTTTAAAACAGGCTATTCATATTCTCCCACCTCCCCCCCCCCAACAAAACAGATCAAAGGCAGGCTCTTTACAGCCACTGGTTACAGAAACGATTCTTACTCCAAATCGTGCATATCTTCATGATCCAAACACTTTTGGAATTTCTCTTCAAATTTCAGTCTCAGCATACGGTTGTTAACTTTAATGACGCGGTTGACTTTCACTCCTGTGATTCCATATGCTCTGAAGTCCCAGGTACAGAAACGTGAGAGAATTAGTTCATAGCAGGAATTAAACCTGTGCGGGGATACAAAACACACACACATACACACAACAGAGGACGCTGAAGGACACGGAGCACGTGCAGTAAGAGCTACAGCTCCTATTTTGTGATTGTTTCACTAAACATACTTCATCAGTTCATAATAACTGTATTTTTGTTCCAATTGGCATATTTAACCAATAAAACATGCTAAAACTTGAAACACAGTAAGATGTTTCTTTTATTATCTATTATCTGGTTCTTCCACTTAAAGGCTATGTTGACTGAATACTCTTTCCTTCCTAAGTCTGTTTGATTGGCTTTGGCATGACCTTATTTTCCTGGCTGCCTTCCTACCTCATATGTCCTTCATTCCCTCCTCCCCCCCCCCCCCCCCCCCCGACTCCCTGAAATGATTCTTTCTTAAAATTTTCATTTTTTTTTACATTTTTAATGGTGCTGAGGATTGAACCTAGGACCTTCTGTAAGTAGGGAAGCCCTTTGCCACTGAGCTACATGACTCCAACAGACTTGGAAAGGTTGCATTTCCCCGGGAACTAGAATGTGGCTCTCTTGTTTCCACTCTCCCTAGGTGATTTTACTGGCATGTAGTCATATGCAAATATTCATTCTACCCAGACTTAGCTGTAATACCCAGATCTGAGTATCCGACAGTTTTCTAAAATACTCGCTAGAGTATATGAAGCCTTTCAAAGCTGACTTACTCAGCATCTGGCCCCAACCTGCATTTAAAACCACAAGTGACTCTCCACTCTTCCTCATCTTATCCTTCAGCACGCCTGCCACCACATCTAAAATGCATGCTGAACCAGATTCCGGGTCATCATCATTGCTGGTGCTGTCCTTGTTGGAATCATTATCTCTGTGTCTATTACAAGAACCTCCTAATTAAGTTAGGACACATGAGTGAGAGAGGGCAGTGTCTCTGGTTTCTCTCCTAAGGCCTATATTTCAAAGCGAGTGGGTATACAATAACTATATAGAACCATAAATACAGCAGATTCTAAACTGATGAAGACTTGGAAGAGAAGCCTTGGGTGAGGAGTGCACAGGGCGCCTTCCTGAAGTCTTAGGAAGATCTTCCAGGAAGAAATGGGATCTGAGAACCAGAGGTGGGCTATCCTGCAGCTTTGTGAACCTCAAGAACAAGGAAGGATGCGCTCAATGACTGGTCGGCTCTCTGCTGCCCTCATCTGGCCGTTCTCACAAAATTACAATTTCATCTTAAAATTGTACAGGACGGAGATTAAGATGAGCTTGAAAAACAGGAAGCAAGTGACCCTGTATGGGATACACTTACCTCATAATCATTTGAATGTGTCTGAGAGCTCAAGCAACAGAGGGATGCTTCCTGATGGGTGGTTTGTGAGCCCAATATCGGAACTCCTAGCTTAGAGAACCCCACTTTCTCACCGCTAGAGGCTTAATCTGCATAGGCAGGGACTGCCGGCCACTGTTCTCCTAAAGTGAAAAACCGAACTTGCCAAGTCTAGCTAATCCTGTGGGAGCGTTGGTGATTCAGTGGCAGAATTCCTGCCTATCAAGTCTAGGTAATCCAGAAGAGTCCAAATCTAGTAGAGCAGACAGATAGGAATAGTGTCACAGTCTAGTACAATGTCTGCCCGGAGTTCAAAGGTCCCACTAAGTATCCACATTAACATCTAGGGTGAGAAACCCACTGGCCCTTCCTATAAAGGGACCGTTTGCTGGATCTATGTTCTTCAAGTCTCCTCTAAATAATATGTCAGGAGTTGCCCGGACTCTCAGTAGTTCACTTCCTACACTCCAAAAGGAGCTAGTTCTCCAGGCATCGCGGAGACACTTCCTATCATTCAGTGGGCTTCTTAGCAGAGGACCAGTGTTCTCAAGAATCGTGGCAGTGATGGACAGACTACCAAACTACTAGATCGGTTTCTCAGAAATGTATGAACCAGAAACAGACAGAAAACCTCATGAAATAGAATCTCTCACAGATCTTATGTGTGTGTGTGCGTGTGTGTGTGTGTGTGCACGTGCGTGTGTGTGTAGTAAAGGTAAAGGAGGGCTGAGGGACCCAAAGGCATTCAGTTTGGGTGAAGGAAGCAAAACAAACCAACCCACAGCCCATGGCCTTGCTCCCAGAACAGTGAGGCACATAGATCAGCCACAAAGAGTGATGGCAATTCAGAGGGAGTTAATGCTCCACCTCAGACCAAAGGTCTAAAAGGAATTTGGAAACTCACAGGTAAGGACTTTCATTTGATTTTGTCTTTAACAAGGTGCTTTCTGAGTAAAAGCCAGCTAGCAAGGGTCATTTTACAGAATGCCCAGGAGCTTTCCTGGTTGGCCAACACCGCATCATTGGGCAGATGCCATGCTGGGTTTTGTGGTCCAGGCAGAACGCTATGGGAACCGGTGTGCAGGTGGATTGAATAGCATGATGACAGCATGTGTTCCTGACTGGATATGGAAACTGAGGGAAAGGATGAAGTCGAGAATGTCTTCAATGTTTGTGCAGCCTGGACTAACAAGAAAACACTGAAACCAAAACCATAACATCAAACGCTAAGTATTTTCATATTACTTTGTCTAATCCTATCTGATTATTTTCTCATTTCTCACATGAGGCTCAAGGGGCTAATGGTATTTCAAGATCACACAAACAGTTTAGATGAAAGGCCTTTCTCTTCTCAAAGTGGATTCCTTCTGTATTTGTTGAGGTTGCCTCATCAATTGAACATCCAGATAGAAATGTCCAACAGACAGGAATGCAGGGTATGAGTGGAGAGAGAGAGAGAGAGAGAGAGGGAGAGAGAGAGGAGAGAGAGAGAGAGAGAGAGAGAGAGAGAGAGAGAGAGAGAGAGAGAGAGAGAGAGAAGCAAGGAATAATTTGTAAAAGTTCAGGAAGACACCATCAAGGAAAAACATGAAAAGAAAATGGAAAATGTTTAAGTACAAAACCCATGGAAGGAAGAGAGAATGGTACCAAGTATTTCAATACCGAGGAAACTGAAGGCTCCTCACTGCCCATGACCCTCACTCATTCAGTGTGGCCTGAGTGTGTAAGCCTTCACACTAATACACACCACAGACTAAGATACTCCATTAAAGCATACACATATGTTTTAGGATGTTAAACACATACCCTTTTAAATGGCCCAAAGAAACTCAATCTCATCTATGAAAATTCACTTCCTGATTCTGGACGAATCTTTAGTGGATGGCAGACGTAAAGCGCTGTCTTGTGAGTGTAGGGCATGACATCCCACTGTCATAGCTCCGTAAGTATTATAGTCAAATATTTTAATATAGACTTGGGGAGTGGGACGGAAAAGTGGGAGGGTAATGTGAGAGGCAGGTATGATCAAAGTGCACTACATACGTGTATGGAAAAGGACCCCCAAATCATTATTTTTCATTAACAGTATACTTTAATAAAAATGAATATAAAGAGATCAGTTACTGAAAATCACCATATGTTAAAAAGTTAGATTGTTAAATGAGCACTTATAAAGTGATAGAGAGATTTCAATTAGTAATTATGTACTGGGCTGTGAACCCAGCCCTGTGGCAGAGGTTTGACTTAAAGGCACATGAAGCCTCTGTCTTCCCCCAGGAGCTCACAGGGTCACTCATCCATTGTTTCATGGAAGCTTTCAGGTTATTTTTCTTCTAACTAGACTACATCTGTAATGATGTTGTAAGCGTGTCAAGGGCAAGGACCATGCCTTTCATGCTTCTGAGTCCCCACTTGCTGAATGTCACATGAAACAAATGAGTTACTAGAGGAATCATTTGCTTCTAAAATGACCGTGCTAGCAGCAGCAACCCGCCCTCTGACTGGCATGTATCTGTAAAATAAGAAGCTTTTGGAAACCGGAAAACATGGTAAATGTATTCTTGAAAGAAATGATGCTGAGAAACAGTGAATGGTATACAACTAGGAATCTGCAGGGATTTTTCCTCTTCTGCTGAAGAAATACAAGTTATTCTAATAGAAAATCTAGCTCTACTCAAGCACTTCCTATTTAAGGAGAGATCCTTGGCCTTAGAGTATTGATGGAAGAGAAGCCAATGTTTAAATAAAACAGCCAGAAATGAGGCACCTGGATATTTAAAGCATTTTAGTTGTGATTTTCTTTTCTTTTTTTTTTTTTTTTATCATACATAAGAGAGCAGACCTTGAATGGCCAAGCATGTGGAATGCTTAAAGCAAGTAACTGGCCTTGAAATTCTGCCAATATACATTTGATTACCTCCTTAAGATGGGTCAAGCTGATCCTTATTAAATCCAAATGAATGCTTTGTAGATACCCATTAAAAGCCATCAAAACTATCCAACTTACTATCAGGGCTGACATAATAACAGAAATGGTATGTTGGTGATTTTATTTTTAAATATTTTTTTACTGTCTTGTTTTGTTAAGAGGTTAAACAGAAGCAGAAATACGTTATTATCTCTAATGGAAGTTCTACTGTCTATTACTCTTAAGTAGGCTGAATGAATATAAATAAAGACTACATCTCACAACCTATAGAACTGTTGAGTTCGTGCATTTGAACCACCAAGACCTGTCTATGTGGAAAGTGGTGTGAACGTCTTTCATGGCCTTGTACATAAAAACCAAGTATTGTGGTTAAATAAACATAACTGCAGGGCAAATTCACTGGTAGAAAAGATCCGCTGGTACAGAAGAATGTATTTTTAAAAGCCCCTTTCTCCCATAGGGGGAGAGCTGCTTACACTTCTCAACCAAGGATCCAAGCTTTGACTCGAGAGGGTAAAGACCTCTCCTGAAAGCAGCTGTTGATCTAAGTGATACCTGGCAATCACATGTTGTTTCTAAACGTTGACGAGACCTTGGCATCGTGTGCCATAACCCTCAGAAGCTGCCTTGCTGCTGCTGTCAGGTAACACTGCACTCTAGGGCCGTGTGTGAGCCTGTCCTGTAGTTCTACACATCTGCCTCTGCACACACATCCAGGTCTCCAGCACGGTTCCAGAGCAACCTCTGGTTGTGTCAAAGGCATTTTGGTTTGAGAAGATGACTTCAGAAATGTGAAACTCATAATTACTAATAGTTTTCATCAAGGCTTTCTTTTTCTTTAAGGGTTATTTCTAGTCATGTCCTCTAGTTGAGACAACACACCTGCTTGCTTATCTCACGGACAGGAAGACCGTGGTCCTGAGGTATGGATGACTGGGGTCTATTTCTGTCTCTGGTGGTCCTCTCCAACTTCGTGTGGGGTTTTTCACTTGGTGTTGGGAGCACAAAGGTCTTGCACCCACAGATCACTGGGGAAACCAGGAATGTTAAACATCCAGGGTTGTCTTTTCAAAGAAAAGATGTATAATCTGTTCTCCCACCCAGAAGGCTGGGAATTGAAGGTGGTCAATAGTCTAGATGATCTGCATTATCTGAAGGGCCAGGCCATATCAAGCTCCCACAACCAGGGCCAGAGGTATTTAATAGTCTAGATGATCCTTACACTATCTGTATAGCCAGCCTCCCCTCCCCCCCACCAAAAAAAAAAAAAAACAAACCAACAACTCTCAAAACCAAGGTTGGAAGTGGCTAATAGCCCAAATGACCTCTGTGCTACTGTATGACCAAGATTGTGGCAGATCGTTCCCTGGACCCTTAAGATAATACATGCAGCCTATCTCCAGAACCCATCTTCTTAAAAGAAATGACACGTACTTTTAATTAAGTTTTGATATAACTATGCCTCCTTGTGCATCGGGGATTGTATTACATCAAGAAGCTGTTTTTCCAAATTGTACTGTGTTTAAATATGTTACAATAAACTGCCTGGTATCAGACTCCAGAAGTTTGATCCAGCCTGGCTGCTACGTCAGGCTGAACTGAGTGTCACCTTACCTCACCTGGTTCCCTGCCGGCTGCGACACTTGCAGGGAACCCCACAGCCTGACATCTGGCTTTGCGGGCCTTCTCCTGACACACAGTGACCATGTGCTCGCTGACTGCTGAGCTCCTGGCAATGGCTCCCACTCTGACTATAGGCCTGCAGGCAGCCAGGAGATGGCCCTCCCTTGGGGCAACCTGCTGTTGCCTATTCTGCTGCAGCTTTCTGCTCTGTTCTGGTTTTCAGCCAGGATTCAGAATCCAGGGCTACAGCCACCCGGCAACGGTATGAACATGCAAGAGGACAACAGTGGAACATAACCCTTTTCTTCAAATTTCTATACACTTCCCATAAGCTTTTTTCTGCTGCCTGGCTAAGAAAAAAAATGCGCAAAGAGTGGCATTGTTGAGGTGTCCAGAGTTTGGCTCACGACAATAAAGCAATTGGACAAATGTACAGATGGGAAATATGTAATAGCAAATTTTCAACAGATGACTATTTTGATAAAAACTATTTTCAAATGAGACACTCTAGAAGTTGATCATCCGGCTCAGGGTCCTAAGTACAATTATCTTTAAAGCTACCCCCAAAGCTCAGATTTACCAGTCATCAGCTCGCGTGCCTTCTTCAAAATGGATGTTCCCCACGGTCTCCAGCTCGGTCAGCAAAAATGGGGTCAATAAGCCGTGGCTCTTCCTCTTCTGTTTTACTTCAATATGATAAATTGCTTCAATTCTACCAGAGACAAAATACACATGCAGATATGTATATGATATGGAAAACTCACGGTATTAAAGCACAGCGGTTTATTCATGTACTGTAACATGTATTCGGTTCATTCATGTGCTGTAACATGTATTAAGTTTGCTCATGTACTGCAACATGTATTCAGTTCATTTATGTACTGCAACATGTATTCAGTTCATTTATGTACTGCAACATGTATTCAGTTCATTTATGTACTGCAACATGTATTCAATTCGTTCATGCATTGCAACATGCATTTTAATATCAGTTACTTTTTGCCTTCCAGTGGATGAGTAAGGTTAATGTTAACAGCTAAACCAGGAACGAGATACTCTGTTTCTGGCAGTGAAAATAACCCCGGATTTTGTTACCCTCACTCAGAGTATGGAAAGCTAAGGAGACTGACTGGATCTAAGAGCATGGCTGCCAAGTCCTAGACAGACTGAGACAGTACCACAGCATCCTCAGTTCCATGTCAATACCAATGGTACTTACGTCTAAACGGCTAGTTTAGGGTCACTTGGCATGGAGCAACCTCCTACCTCCAAACGTTAAAATCCTGTTCATATCATTACGGGGGCCAGTCGACTTCTTTCCTCGATGGCCCAGTGAACGAAAGCGCAGTGTGAACCAAGCAAGGGCCGTGGCCATGCCTGGTTGGGTCTTGTCTGCTGGCTGAGTTTCTGAACTAAGGAAAGCCCAATTGCCTTCTTTTAGTTTGCGGACAGAAACAGACGTGACAGCAAGCTGAGAGGAGGAAGCTCACTGTGCTTTCCTGAAAATGGCCTCAGCCAGAGTCCAGCCTTGAGCAGGTGGGAGCCCTAGGAGCCCAAGTGCCAACACAGGCCATGTTTTGTTGCCTCCCATTTCTCAAGGGAATTGAGCTCAACTCTTGCCCCCCAATATGGTTACTGTTTTATATTTTCAATCTGAATGACCAGACAGTTCACCAAACCTACTCATTTAGTTTCTTGTTCCAGAATGTAACCCTTTCATCCAGGGCAGTCAGTTTGGTGAGGATCTTCTGCTGAAGACCTGAATCTTGTGCAACAGTCTCGCTAGTCTTGGGTTTCTCGGCCTCTGGTGCGTTGTCATTTTGCCCTTTAGCAGGTCCCTTGAGTTCGGCCAATTCCCGTTCTAACTGTTTCCAACAACACACCACAGAGCAGATTAAAAATCAAACATTAAGGCGAAGCCTCAATTCAGATATTCATTTTACAGTGAGATTTATTAGTCAGTTTAGATGATCAAAGTAGAAATCTAGGTAATAGGAAGTTCCGGTTTATAACAGTCAAAGGGCAACTTCAACCTTGGTGCCAGTTCATCCCTATTGAACAAGTGATGGTTTGGAAAGAGGAAGCTCGGTAGTCTCTTAACTGAGAGCGAGAACGTTAATAGACCACGGAATGTTGAGCTTGCTTGTTAAAGCCAAAGTGAAGTTACAATCAGCGCTGGTTTGGGTGTGAATAAAACCTTAAACCTCAAAAAATGAGATTTTAAAACATACTTACTTTTCAGTGTTTTTCAACTACTTCTGGAGAGATATAAACCATAGAAAACACACAAAGGGGAGATAAAGTTTTCCTTTTGTTTTACTATCCGACTAGCAAAAAAAATTACTCATTGTTCCAGCACTCGGGAGGCAGAGGCAGGCGGATCTCTGTGAGTTCGAGGCCAGCCTGGTCTACAGAGTGAGATCCAGGACAGGCACCAAAACTACACAGAGAAACCCTGTCTCGAAAAGCAACAAAACAAAACAAAACAAACACACATTGTATCAGATTTTAATATTTTGGGATCTGTTGTCCATAATAGGGCTTTTGGTATTAATTGGGATATTTAAAATATTGCTTTGAATATTATTTATCTTGATTACTTAGCCTTTGAATCACACCTATAAAGTTTGGGTCCAGGGCAAATCTCTTGTGCGATTTAGAGCTAAACTATAACGCACGAAGTTTATAAAAAGAAATTTACTAGTTGGCTACATTTCTTCACTGATATAGCTATAACTGGCTGCTAAAATCAAACTACATATTTAAATATGTGTGCAGTTTATATGACATATGTTCCTTTTCTTGCTTGCAGATTTTAATTAATATAGTTGAGTACCCTTAGCTGAAATCTGAAGTGCACCCAAATTTGAAACTTTGGACATGTTTCAGATACTTAGATGAGGGATGCTCAGCTGGTGGTGTCCATGGAAATATTCCACCATGTGAGAAACTCCAAACTCTGAAATCCATTTGGTTGTAAAGCATTCTAGATAAGGGATTCTGAACCTACATGCATGAAATGGCACATTACAAAATGATTTTCACATCTTGGGTCTTTCTGTGGTTTTTAATCAAATAATTTAAATTTAATTAACATTCTACTTTAAGAATATCCTTCTAACTATAACAATAAAAACATGCCCATTTGTAGAAAAGACCATTTATATATATATTTCAAACCTCTTTTTAAAAAATAAGTGTCATTTTTTTCTAACTTTTAAATGTATGGATATGTGGGTTTGTGTAATGAGTGAATATGCCTATGAAGGCCAAAGAAGGCGCTGGATCTCCTGAAGCCAGAGTTACAGGTGGTCGTGAGTCACCTGGTACGGGTGCTGGGAACCAACTGGAGTCCTTTGCAAGAGCAGCCCATCCATGCTCCAGCCCTAGTAGTCTACTGTAGCTTGACTTATTCTCTTGTTAAATATTTATGTTGCATCTAGTGTTTTGTTACTATTGGTGAGGCAGTGATAAATATCCATAGAATAAAGTACATAAGTAGACTTGCTGAGCTGAAGGCTAGGAGCTCTCTGAAGCTGTGTGACCACAGCTCACTTATGAGCATGGGAGAGTGTATGGCGCTCATCTGTACCACCTACTGCTGTTGTATGCTGCTCTTTGAGAGTTTCATAGGTAAACATGGTTTTTCACACTGCATTAACATTTGACAATTCACCAGGGAGTGCTACATTCAGGTGTTCGTCAGTCATTGTAATTTATTCATTTGTAAAGTGCTGATTTATATATTTCCTTCAATTTTTCTATTTGTACATCTACTTTTAACCTTATCTTACTTATGGACACATTTGTACTAAGAATAAAATCTCTTTGTGCACACATCATGTTTCTTTAGGATAGTTTAACTTTCTCAGACATATTTTTCCTTAATGTACATGTGAAGGGCATGTGCTTGTGTATATACAAGGGTGTGGAGGCCAGAGGTCAGAGATGGCATCATTCCTCGGGTACTGTCCACATAACAATAGGGTATCTCAGTAGCCTGGAGTCTGCCAAGTAGCCTAGGCTGGCTGGCTAGTGAGCATCAAGGATCACCGCCCTCCACTTCGCTAGCTCTAAGATAACCAGCACATGTTACCGTGCCCACCTTCGTATATGGATTCTTGGGACTGAGCCCAGGTCCTCATGCTGTGTGGCAGCACTCTATCTACTGAATCACCTCCCTAGCCTGTGTTCTTACCTTTTAGGAATAATGCCTTTTAGCACAAAATAATCTTACTTTTTGGTTTTGCAACTGAATCTATGTTTCTTTGCAATTTATAGTATTTCTTTTATTTGGCAAGTTGAGACCCACTAAATCAATTCATCTACATATTTATTCTTGGTATTTTTCTTTGTTTAATTTTTACTCCCACTGATACTTAGTTTGGTAAAGTGTAAAACCAACTCCCTCACTCCTAAATACCTTGACTCCTTTCTAACACTATTTGTTGAACAATCCATTGTTTCTTCATGTTTTTGAGAAGTTACAGAAAATTTTACACACACTAGGTTCTGTTTTCAAGATCTACCTTTAATAAAATGAATCTAATTATTCTGAATAAAAAGCACACATACTGCTAAAACAGAGTTTGATTTGAAGTTCCCCATTGTATACCTCTCTGTGTGTGTGTGTGTGTGTGTGTGTGTGTGTGTGTGTGTGTGTGTGTGTACACACACATCTGTCTGTGTGAGTGCAGGCATATGCATGCCACAGGACATATGTGGAGGACAATCCCAGGTTTTGGTCCTCGCATTCCACCCTGTTGGACTGTTGGAGACAGGGTCTCTTTGTTCTACGTTGCATAAGCCTTGTCTCCACCCCCCAATCTCACCTTAGGAACACTGTGATTACAGACACAGACTACCAAGCCTGGGATCAAAATACTATTAGAGTAAACCTGACTTGATCTTGATCTTCAGTATTAATCACACACACACACACACACACACACACACACACACACACACACACACTCGAGGGTGGGGATGGGGGGAGTTAAGAATTTACTATTTTGTCTGATAATTTTCCTACAATGTAGCCATTGAAATTTTACATGATGAAATCTTACGGTTTTTTTTGCAAAGTTGAATAATTTTATCCGTTCTTCTGGTAGCTTCTGTAACTTGCATTTTTTGTCATTCAGTTTTTCAAGTTCTTCATTCAGATGTCTCTGAACAGTTTTTATTCGCATGTTATAATACATTATTTTCTTCATCGCTGTGGTCTGAACGTAAGAGAGTAAATAACACGGGATTAGATAAAACACAATTACAGATAGCTCTGCTGGCTAGTTTTATGTCAATTTGACACAACCTAGAGTCATTTGGGGAACTTCAATAGAGAAAATGCCCCACCAGATTAGCCTGTGATGCATTTTCTTGATTGATAATTGACATGGGAGGGTCCAGCTCACTGTGTTTGGCCCTGGGTTCCAGAGGAAAGTAGACAGAGCAAGCCAGTAAGCAGCATTCTTCTATCGGCTCCAGCCTCCAGGTTCCCGCCTTGAGTTCCAGCCCTGACTTCTCTGGATGATGGAGAAGTAGGCTGAAATAAACTCTTCCCTCCCCAGGAGCTTTTGGCCACAGCAATAGACATCTGACTAAGACATAGCTATCAGTGATACTGTATGAGCACAACAAGTTCTTTATGAAGTTGGAAGCTGGCTAGCTCCATTAGAAATGCCGATGATGACAGCAGATGTGATGATGCTCTCGGGATTTATTTAATTTAATACGTAAGTCACAAAATCTCAAAGAACATCTTTGTGTTTAATATGTGAGTATGTGGCATAAGCACATCTATTTCCAGAATTTCCAATAAAGAAACTGCAGACATAATTTAATTTATAAAACAGTATATTTAACTAATAGGACACAGGACTGGAGCAAATATTAAACCACTGTTCCTAGTTTATTAATTCAGGGAAAGCAAACAAATTAAAAGGGGTTAAAAGCAAATGTAAAATTGAGTATAATTTTAAAAACCTTGACACACACACACAAAAAGGCTTACCCTGCCCCTCAATCTGCAAAATGGTGCTCTAAGTGAACTATCTGCAGACTGAGTAGGTCATTAAATTATCACTCTGCTGCAATTATCTCAAACCTTATATTTAATACTAGTATACCATTCAGTTACTACTCAGCTAATAATAACAGATTGGTTAAAAAGCCCATTATGAACTAGACAAGCTGAATGATGCCTGAGAATTAGATTAGTCAAAATGAACTGACGAGACAGTCTACCTAGAGGATCAGTTCGAGGTTCAGTGAGAGATTCCCTCTTGAAAAATAAGGTAGAGAGCCAGAGAGCGAAACACCTGACATCCACCTGTGGCCTCCACATGACACACACAGGTGAGCACACCCCCACACACATGTCTACACACAAGTGTACAATTCACTACAAGCACAAGCACACATATTAAGAAAGAAAGGAAGAAAAAAGAAAGGAAAGAAAATTGGGAAATGATGTTTTGTTGTTATTTTGAATATTTGGGGTAAATGGAAAATCCAAAACAAATATACTTGAGTCACTGAGAGCTAAAAGGATTTCAAATAAACTCTTAAACCTAAAATACCATGTGTTGTGGAGTAAAGTGTTTATTTTTCCAGACAAAATTGTGGATGCTAAGCTAAATTTCAAATAAACAACAAAGTATTCACTAAACTTACTTGTATTTATTGAGTTATACCGAGACACTCTTTAGTATTTATATGAAATTCTAATTTAACTCAGATTTTTGCCATGTGGGAAAAAAGATTTTAAAAATACTAAATTTAATTTGTTCTAAAATAATTTTAATAACCATGTATCAAAAATTCTATTCCCAACAGACACGCGTTTCCCATTTTTGGTATGATCACTGAATTCCAGCATTAATGTTATTATCTGTATACTTTTAGGTGAAACACCTGCTCTTGGGGCAAGAGCAGACAGGAGATAAGAGCTGACTGTATAATACCACCAGCCACATGGGGACCCAGGCGGAGAAAGCCATGAACCAGGCAACCTTGCGTCACAGACAGCTGACTGCGGACCCACTTACATCTGCCAGCTCCTTGATCTGCTTTGCTGAGACATCAAACGTGTCGAGTCGTTGAAGAGAAGGCAAGTGATAGAGCACGTGGGTAGAGTAGTTACACAGCTGGCAGACTGGGTTGGTTTTGTACTGAGGATCATTCAGAGACAGATCCTGTAAGCGAGGCAGCCTGGTCAAGTTCGTAAGGTCCTAAAACAGCGATGGCAGTGGTAAGTCAGTTATGAAAGGTCTTTTTGGAAGGAGGTGTTTTAGCACGTAAGGTCACCCACAATCTCATGTAACACATTCTGATCGAACACCTAAGTACGTATGTTAAGTGATCTAGATAGCACTTAGAACTCTAGAAGAAACTCTGGAAGAAACTCTAGAAGAAAAGATCGGCCTTTGCTGTACAGATGGCAGACCACACAGCCATGCATTTTCTGTACCAGCTGCTGCTCCAAACCAGAAGAACACTAACTCTACTTTACGATTCCCTAGGGAGATCTGTGATCGTATTATAATGGCCCCCTTGCTGGAAAGCAGTGACAGCTCTGTGTTGTCTATCAAACACGGCCACCATCGGAGATCTGATTAGCCTTTTAATCGCAGCTCCCCATGTTCTCACGGGTACCCTGTGTTTGAGCCAGATGACAATGCTCACACTACTCAAATGGACCCACGGTTTCTCATTTCCTCGCTCTTACGAATATTCATCTCCCCCTCTTAGGATGTCCACTCCCACGGCCCGGAGGAACCTCCTCCAATGCCTGTTACAAGACTCCAGCCTTTCCTACTGGTTCATTCCTTTGCAATTTGACTAATCAGGTTAACATTTTACTCAGATTTCTTCTTAATTTACTCTTTCACTGCTTTGCAACACCCTTTCATTTTTCTCTGGGTTAAAGACTACCCATTTACACTGGGGGATTGAGAACTGTTCCTTACTCCTCTTTCTCTAATATTTCCACCAGGTGTGCTGGACCCTGTGTCCTTGATCCCACGTTGTCAGAATTACATCGTGAACACGATGGGAAAGCACGGGAAGGTGTTGACAGGAGAGATTTATCATAGCATCCTATTTCAAAGGGCTCCAGCAAGCCCTGCTGTACGGAAAGCAGATTGAGACTAGAGAAAAGAAAAAGGGTTGGGAAGGCAGCTCAGCAGATAAGAGCATCCACTGCATGTCTGACAGCCCGGGCTCGAGCCCTAGGGCCCAACGTTCAAATGAGGGAACCGCATCCTCCTGCAAGTTGTCCTCTATCTCCACATGTGCGCCATGGCAGGCGCGCGCGCACGCACGCACGCACGCACGCGCACACACACACACACACACACACACACACACACATTCTGAAAAATAGGGAGAATTGTGAGAGTTGTGTTTTAATTTTTCCTCTCAGTAATGCAGATTGGTACCCAGAGTAGAGTGTGATCCAGGCAGTAAGACTCTGGGCATATTCCAAATGGGCACTAACGGGATTTGCTCATGGATTGAAGGTGGGGTATGAAGGAATAACAGGAGAAAAACAGAGCTGTAAGGATTTTTGCTTAGTTAAGTGGAAGAGTAGAAGTACCATTTAGAGAATCAGAGACGTCTGCAGGGAAAGAAGCGTTGGGGAGCGGACATCAGTTTGAAGTCGGTTGAGGTCTGTAGTTCAGAGAAGTCATCAGGGTAAGTAGAGGGACCGATTTAGCAGTAATTAGATTAGGTGTATTTGCAGTCATAAGGTATGATGGGATTATTCAGAGAATGAATAGAGACAGAAATGAGGAAGAGACCTCTGGACTGAGAAGGGGCAGTCCACTTTTTTAGAGGTTATTAGAGGATGAACCTCCTGCAAAATAGATGTAGCCAGAAGGCCTAGGAGAAAGTTCAGAGAAAGTAGCACCCTTCCAATTGAGTACTTGTTTGTTGTTTTTTGTTTTTGTTTGTTTGTTTTTAGTTCTAAAAGGATCCAATCCTTATGGCTAATTGAACAGATGCCTCTCAAACTCCCTAGAGCAGTGGTTCTCAACCTTATACAGTTCCTCATGTTTTGATGACCCCCAACCGTAAAATTATTTTCATTGCTATTTCCTAACTGTACTTTTGCTACTGTTATGCATCGTAATGTAAATATCTGATACACAGGATATCTGATATGAGACCCTCAAATGGGTCACAACCCATAGGCTGAGAACCGCTGCCTTGGAGCATCAGGAAGCACAAAGTAGTGAAACTGCTCCTTGAGGGAAGACCGCTGGCTGTATTTTTTGGTCTATAGTGTTTGTAACTCAGGTTGATAAACAGAAACCAATCATTTAGTTGAACATACCTTGAAAGAAGTAATTTGGTTTCCAGAAAGGTTTAGTTTTTCCAGTTGTTCATTGGGGTCAAGACATGGACCTTTAATTTAAAAACAAGATTAAAGAAACATTAGGGATGAGGATATAGCTCAGTGGCAGAGTGCTTGCCCGGCATGCCCAAGGCCCCAAGTTCAAACCTCAACATCACAAAAATAATTAAATTTCTTGTTCTACCTTTATTATATATCCTGCCATCCTTGTGAGTTAAAGACAGCCATTATTTCCTGCATAGCAATAGAATTTATGATACCACTGTATAATCAGCAATAGTTATTACTGACTGATAGTTACATATTTGAATCATAGATTTCAAAATAGGTAGGGAAGTGGGGGTGGATCTGGAAAGAGTTGGATGAGTGTAAATATGATCAAAACCCATCGTGAGAAACTCTCAAAGAAGTACTATCTAAGAACCATGATCTAAGATAAAAATGTATGCAAAAGCAAAATTGCTTTTCAATGACATAAAGTCTAATAGAAACGACTCTAAGCACATACTTTGAGAACGCATTAGCCCAGAGTCCAGAGGAAACAGTACATACCAATGTTGCTTATCAGGTTTCCTGCAAGATTGAGGTCTTTTAAGTTCTTCAGCGTCTGTAAGCCCTGGAAGTGTAGACAACATGTAATCTTAAAAACCATTAATTCTGATCACCCTGGTTATTTCCTTGGGTGTTCTATAGAGGAACATGGGTACAGTGAAGCCACCCCCTCTCACTTTAATGGAACCTGGAGAGAATTTAAAGAAGGAGCAGAAAGGAGTGGAGGAGAAGAAAAGTGGAGTGAGCGGAGAAACAACATATCTCACATCATGTTTATAATTATAGAGACAATGGTTCCTTCTAAAACATAACCTACGCATTAGTTCTTCTTTTTACTTTATTAAAAAAAATTGTGCATGAGTGTTTTGCCTGCATGCATGTCTGTGTACCATGTGTGTGTCTGGTGTCCAGAGAACAGCAGAGGGCTTTAGGTTCCCTGGACCTGGAGCTACAGACAGTTTTGAGCTGCCATGTGGTTGCTGGGCATGGAACCCAGGTCCTCTGGAAGAGCAGTCAGTGCTCTTCACCGCTGAGCCATCTCTCTTTAGCCCCACCTCAGTTCTTTTTGACAACAATAACTATGCTATTCATAAATATTTTGCCCTCAACACTGACTATATGATCTCGGACACCGTGGTTTAAATGCCGTAACAGTATGAACTGGCCTTACATGCAAATTATCAAAATTACCTCACCTCAATATTACTTATCATATTGTGGTTCAGCCAAAGAACTTCCAGTTTTATTAATTTCTCTAAATTTTGTATTTTGGAAATTTTATTGTAATATAAATATAATTTTTCCAAATTTCTACATTCTTGAAGACCTTCAATTTTCTGTGGAAAAGGAGATTGGAGACTGTCATTTATTTTGTCATCAGATTCAATTCATCAGATAGAGTAGATTTCGGAGTCTTTTTTCTTTTAAACACCACTTCATTGCAATATCAACACCCGAAAAGATAAACTAAAAATTTAAAACATACAACTTCTTTGCCAAAATACAGCTATATTTAATTTTGTACACTTTCTTTAAATTTTAATCGACTACATCAGCTTTATATTAATAAAATCACATACATCTGATTTTATAGGTGGTTTTTTTTTGCCCAAGACCATCTAACAAATTTTCATAATTTTTCAAAGTATAATATTTAATGATTACAAAATATTTTGTAAAATTTATAATAGTTTTCTTTAAAATTACCCTATGTGCAGAATTTTCACATTAACTATTGTGAAAATGATGTAACAAATACGCATGTGACTCTTCTCTGCTGTTGAGTTACTTCTCTAGTATAAATTCGTAGGATAAGCATTTCTGAGTTAAAAGGTGTGTACACTTCTATTGCTCATGATGCATTTTGTAGTGTTGCTTCCTATTATACGTGTCTAACCACTTAGTACCTAACTGAATCAATTCTACTAGTAAGCAAATATTGGCTGTGATCTGACTTGATATGTTTAACAAAAAGTTTGTTTTGATTCCTTAGGCCTGTTTTCACGTTGTACACATTTTTTATCTTTGCCCATTTATCAGTTTTGAGTTACACATACTGCACATATTTTAATGAATTATTTTTCCAAAGCCAAGAATTCAGTATTAGAGGCACCTCGTCATTTATCTTTTTAAACTTACCTCTATGCAGCATTCAGCAATCCAAAGTTCTTTAAGTTGTGAACAAGTCTCCAACCCTGAAATTTCCTTTATATCTTGAGCAACAATTGTAAGACTCGATAAGCTAGGAAACAATGATAATCCAACTATACGGGGATACCCTGAGAAAAACATCTCCAGTTTCGAAGTATCTGATCCTTCTTGTCCAAGCATCTCATAAGATAAACCATTGCACAAACACTGTTTTAAGAGAAAGAATTTTGATTATTACCTGTTCTAAATAGTTAAAAAATTGTATTTTGATATCACAAACTATAAACTGCCCATTGAACTACACCATTCTTGTACTCTCACAAAAGAGAAAGTTGGATCACATACATGACTTCTGTGCTTCCAAAAGTCGTACGAGAGAAGGAATATCCCTCCTGTTAGTCCTCACAGCTCCATGAGGAGTGTCAAAATATTCTACTTAATATTCTTGCAAATATTATTGAAAAGAAATTGGGCTTGGACTCACCAGTTCTTTAATGATGTCACTTGAAGTTAAGTTTTCACTTTCAATCATCTTCCTTTAAAAAACAATGGTCATACTAATATATCTATTAAGGAAAATGGAAGATTGAGGTTAGTCCTAGAGTCACGGCAGTCTAAATGGAGAGTCATCTGAAAGCTACCAACTGTGGCATTTCTGGGTCTCCACACAGACCTCCTTCCATCTCTGAAGCTTCCATCTCCAAACGTTTTTAGTATTTTGAACTTAATACTGCCTCTCCATAACTCTTTCTATTTTGTTTAGTCCAAATAAACCAAATACAGTTTTTCCTCTAAACAATAAACCTTCAGAATACTTGCAGAAGCCATCTTTCACCCTCCCCCAAAACTTCGAATTGTTACCGGGTCTTCCTGCTTCTTTCCCATACATAGACTGTAGCTTCGGTTTCTTACCAGGCTGTGGTGCCCCAAGCTGAACCCAGTTCTCTAAGCAGCAAAACAAGGACTTCTGGAATGTTAATATAGTTTCTGATCTATATGCTAGCTAAAAAACTGAAATCAGATACCTAAGAGCTATGTGATTTCTATATATAATAATAGATATTAAAGAAGAATTATTAAGGCTTATATGGCATGGCAATAAATATTCATTAAAATGAGGCCACTGGTATCCCTTTTGACACAGTTGCTCAATTAATATCTAAATGGCTTTAATACAATTTAATTAAATGTTCATAATTTTAAATATTTTCATTATGTAATTCATATACTAAAAAGTGGAGGGAGCTTGTTTTTTAATACAATGCTATAACAAGATGTATAATTTCATTAACCCTAACTCCCTCCTAGAAGTGTGTATCTGTAAATAAATGTGTGCATATGCGTGATTATTGTAAGCATTACAGCCTAGAAGGTGAGGAATGCTGGCAGCAGGAACCAAGGAGTACCACAAAGTCACACCGCACAACAAACCTCACCCGAGAGATTTATTGGGAGGGGAAAATCCAGAGGGTGGCTGCCTCTGCTGGGGCGAGAAACAGCAGCGAACTGAGCAGGACACAGGGCTTATCTAGAGTTTCTCGAGGAGGGGGTGGAACTTTCGAGGGCGGAGCTTTCCAGGTAGAGATTGGTGGGATTTCGTGTCCAGAGATTGGGCTTTTTACTCTGTAGGGTGGGGGCAGGGTCCAGCATTCAGGGCAGTCAGACTGTTCTGTGGGTGGAACCTGGCAGCTGGAGGTCCTCGGGGGAGGGGCCTGGCCACTCCTGTGGCTTGAGGGGCTTCCAATTATGTGAAGAGAAAATGTGGAAATGTACATTTTAAGTCATTAGCGTGGGTTACTCTGAGGGTAGAAAGCCGATGAGAATAGGTTAAGAGTAAAAGGTAAGATGAGGAGAGAGGCGAAAGGGAAAAAAAAAGAAAACAACGTTATTTTTGAAAAATACATTTACTATTATAGAGTCTGAGTGTCTAACTGTATTTTAATTTATTGTACTGTTGATACGCATCTGGACTGTTTTTCACTGAGGGCCAGTAATGTAAGTACGTGTTTTATCATGCGGGACAAAGTTCAACACTTCTGTTGGGTTTACGCACAGGAGTGAAATGACAGACAACTCTTTTTATAAGCAGTGTTGATGACTTTCATAGGCACGCTCTGAAGCAGAAAATGTACACACATGATGATCATGTTTTCTACACCAATTCACATGCAAACTGGAAACAAGCTGTGGTCCCAGGACCCTGAATAACTGCGGTTCAGCCACAGGTGGGTTAGCAGCAGGGAGTAAAAGAGGGGCTTTGGGGACACAGATAAAGGTACCGGAGGAGAATCGGTATGTTATCTGTACATGTGTTTACCTGAATAAAGTTTCACGTAAGTTTTATTAGGGCCCCTCATTCAATTATGTTTATATTCATGCTCAGGAACTTACACAAACTAAAATGTTAACAAAGTGACGATGTGAATCCTGTGTTTACTACCTGTGCTCCTTGGTTACAAGTGCAAGACCCACGGCAAGCTGAGATGTCTACCTGTGCCAGGGAAAAGCTCGAGCACTAGGAAGACTGACGAAGGTACTCACATTAGATTGGGAGAAAAGCCGTTTGTACAAACCATGTCAAAATTCAAGACACCAGAAAGAGAAGTTTTACTAAGCTATTTTAAAAAAACTTTTTAAAAGCTATTTTCAAACTCAGAGCAGCAACTGTTGGTAAAAGGAAGCTATGGAGCATTCACGACACAGCAGTGTTAGAGCAGCGTACAGCTTCTGTCTTTGTACTCAGTCTTTGTGAACTGGGGACACTCCCACCACGATGAAGGTGTGACTTGGACAAGGACCCTCCAAAGTTCAGGTGCCGTCAACAGAGTGTCATTAAGAGAAAAGGTCTTTAAGAGATCAAGAGGGTTCCTTCCCTCAAGAACGGGCCCTAGGGCCCTAATCACAGCCTGATGGAGGGAGTCTGGTCCCCTTTTCCTCTTCCACCTTCTGCCATGTGACGATCTCACCAGATACCGGAAGCTTTTGCTTTTTGCCTGCTTGCCTTCGCTCTCATGGGCAGGCCCATTTTTCCAGCTTCTGAGACACCACTTTGCTGGTATTAGAACCCTACTTCCTCAGAATTCCAACATAGACTGAAGACTAGCTGAGACATCCAGTCTTGGCTCTAGTTAGAGACAGCCTTTCTTGGACTAGTCAGACCACACCCACAGCCTGTAGCCATTCTAATAATTTCCCTTTTCACACACACACACACACACACACACACACACACACACACACACATACACACACACACACACACACAGAGAGAGAGAGAGAGAGAGAGAGAGAGAGAGAGAGAAAGAGAGAGAGAGAGTTCTCTTCTTCTAGAGAACCCTGACTAATACATACTCTTAAGCCTCTGATACCACAGGCCCAGAATAACACTTTCATCTATAACTTATAATGGTTGCCTTGGCCATGGTGTTTGATCATAGCATTAGAAAACGGACTAATACAATTCCCTTCTCATTTTTTTATGTTTCTTGGTTAGTCTTTCTTATTCATTTTTTATGACTAAGACTTAACATTTTGTTGTTGTTGTTTAAGAAACTCTGTCGTGGGGTGGGAGAGATGGTTCAGAGGTTAAGGGCACTTGCTGTTCTTCCAGAAGGACCCACGCTCCATTCCCAGCACCCACATTAGGGGGCTAAGAACTGCCCCTGCTTCATAGATCCCATTCCTCTGGCCTCCCTAAGTACCTGTGCATCTTGATCATACCCCCCCCCCCCACAATTAACATTCAAAATTAAATCTTAAAAAAAGACTTTTAGAAGTCCAGCTGTAATTCTGATTTGATAGTACATCACAAAAATTAATATAGGAGGGTGTTCACCTTCACAGTGTCGAGTCTTCCTAAAAACAAAGCCCCAAAATCTCTGCATTTAGTCAAGGAGATATTTTCTGGGTATACAATGTGGATTATCTCTCAACTTGCATTATTCTGTGTTCATCAATGCCCCAAATAATCCTATTCTAACTCAGCAGTTAACTGACAAGACAAAATTCACTGAAAACTCCAACTATGTTTGAGCCATGAGATGCTATGCCCCAGTTACAGAGGGGACCGTTACTGTGTTTCTCATTAGCTTCCTTTCCTATGGGGAGGATTAAAGACGAAATCCTAGGACACATGACAGTATTCTAACGTTCACCACCCCTTTCAAGCTTTTTCCTTCTCTCCCTTCATTCTTCCCTCCCCCTTCCATCCCCCCCTCATATCTCCTCCCCCATCTCTCGTCAGATGAACTTGTCCTTGTCCTCATCGTCAAAGAAAACAGGGCTGTCTTAGGATGTGCTCCCTTTAAATTTCTTTTCTCCTTAAAGACACGTTCTTTCTTTTCCTTAGGACTTTTGGCTCAGTGGACACACTCATTTTGGGGCTGGGGAGGGTGGATCGGTGAACACACTCATTTTGGGGCTGGAGAGGGTGACTCGGTGGACACACTCATTTTGGGGCTGGGGAGGGTGACTCAGTGGGTAAAGTGCTTGTGTTTGCCGTGCAAGCCTGAGGACCTGGGTTTGGATTCCCAGCACCCATGTGAAAGCTGGACATCCCAGCCTGGGAGTGGAGACAGAAAGGACCCAAGAAGTTGTGGGGTCAGGGGTTGGGAGTGGGGAAGGCTTGCCAGGTCAGACAATTTTGGCTGAATTGGTAAGCTCCAGGTTTACCTAAAAAAATAAGGAGGAGAGCAAAGGAGGAACACTCTTGTATGGGTATGCACACTCCCAATACACGGGCACATGTATCATATACAATAAATAAATAAATAAATAGGCAAATAAATAAATAAATAGGTAAATAAATAAATAAATTCATTTTGTCTGAAATGAATCTCTTTTTCTGTGCACTGATCCACCCTTTTCTACCTCCTTTAGAGCATTGTTCTGTGAGTCTTTCATCTTTTTTTTCCACAAGATCTCCTTACGCCTTTAATCCCAGCACTCGGAGGCAGAACCAGGTGGATCTCTGTGAGTTCGAGGTCAGCCTGGGCTACAGAGTGAGATCCAGAAAAGGCACCAAAGCTACACAGAGAAACCCTGTCTCGGAAAAAAAAAAAAAAAAAAAAAAAAAAAAAAAAGATCTCCTTTCCAAAAGGTCTCCTTTCCTCTGTGTATGAGTACCAGGTCTTCCTATTTAGAAAAGTTCTTTCTATCTTGCTTCTTTTTTTTTTTTTTTAATGAAGAGCTCTTTTTGATACTTTCACAGGGAACTTTCTAGACCATCAGTAGCAACAATTCTCTGCCTCCATTCAGTCCTCAGCCCACTGTCACGTGGAAGAAAACCCTCAAGCCACCACAGCTTCTACTTACTGTTAAACAAGACCAACAACAGCCTTCAAATTGTCAAAGGCAGAGGGCATGTGCTGGCTCTCAACTTGACCTTGGCGTGACATTGAGCAATGCTGACAACGCTGAGCAATGTTGATGACTGCTAACTTTTCTGCCTGGTTGCTTTCTATCCCCTCCCTCGCACCCTCCCTCTCTGTGTATGCACATGCAGGTATGAACGCTGGTGTATGCACGTTAAGTGTGGAGGCCAGAGGACAACGCTGGGGCCATCCATCAGGTTCCATCCACCTTGATTTTCTTTAGAGAGTGTCTCCCTAGCCCCTACTTGTTACTTTGCACTAATAGCGTCCTTCTTTGTAAAAGTCACTCACTTTTATTTTCCTCTTTCCTGTGCAATAAATCCCAAAGCCCATGTGGACAGCTCCATGCGGACCCGTCACAAGCATCACAAATTCACCGTGTCCCAAACCGAGCTCATATTTCCCAACTCATGCAGTTTTCCTTAATGAACGCTTTCTCGTGATAAAGGACGCCACCATCCCCTCTTCACCCAAGTTGGAAACATGAGACTTACCGCCATGGTTTCCCCAGGTTCACTCCTCATCAAATCCTTTTTCTTATGTACCCTAAAGTCTATCAGGGCTTTCATGCTTCCTCTCCATCCTCTGCCATCATGTCCCCTTCTCTGGACGACCTTCCCCTGGGGCAGCCAGCCTCCTGAAGTGGACATTTGCTTATGCCACTCCTCTTGGAAGGTGTTTATGGCTACCACACCAATCTCTCAAACTCCTGTCCAACCAAAATGGCACGACAACATTCCAGGACTGGCCACAACTCCAGTCCTGTGATGGCTGACATAGCTGTACTTCTGAAGATGCCTTTCTCTCCTTGAAATGTCTTATCTCCTTGATTTACTCTATACATCTTTAAGATTACGCTGAGTCTTCTCTGAAGACTTGAGTTTTCTTTGGTCTTACTATAAATGGTCTCTTTCATGTGATTGGGTTAGTCTAGCACATGCCCAGTGGATAGCACTATCACACTGTATTGGGATACTTGCAGGTCTTTTCTCCCAACATGCTCACTCAGGACAGGAGCTACGTCTGACCCCTAGTGGGTATTCAATGTAATTTACAAAATGGTTCCAATTAACTGTCACACCACAGATCCTATTCAATATAATGTTGAACATTGTTCTGCATGACAATTCAGAACACAGTTCTACCTAGCCTGTAAAGAACTGTTTCTGTCTGCCAGAAGAGCTGAGTAAGCATTCATTCTAGGAAACTACACTTTTCTACAGAGCAGAAGCCCTATGTGGTCCAACTGTTTTCTCAACTGAGTATAAAGGGGTCAGGATCCGACAGTTCTCACTGATGGCCCATGTAAACGCCCTTCTCTCTCTAGATGATCGGTATCTGGTTGACCAGTGAGCACTCGAGTCTTCCAGTCCAATACCCACCCGAGACGGTGGCATACCTTTCCTCCTTCATTTCTCTGGGGCCTTCCTCTAAATTATTATTATTCCTTTATTATTACAACTATTATCATAATATTATTATAATCCCCATTGCACCATTACGTAGGTCCCTTGACCTGTGTGCTGCTGTAGATTCCTCCACGTGTTGAGTAAAGCGAACTCCCTGGTCTTTCCAATAGGGCAGAGACGCCTGGAGGCCATCGGCGGACGGATACCCACCTTATTCCAGAGAGAGAATGGATTCCGGGGCTGTCCAAGACAGGTCAGAGTGCACTCCGACCTCCCAATCCCTGTGTGCAGCTGATACCACACGCTTTCCAGCCCCGGGCCTGCTGTGTACTGACCGCCCACTGCGGTTGCCTAGGAAACCCGCACTCCGCCTCCCCTGACCTCTGGGTCACGAAGGGGATGAAGAGGGCGGGGAAATCAGCCGTCCAGCCTTGTCTGCATCACGTGGTGGTAACCTCCAACCAATCAACATAGGCAGGGAAGACACCCGCTCCCGCGCCCCCCCCAGACTCTACCCCCACCCCTCGCTAGCGCTCTGGGGAAGCGGTGGGAGCCGGTCGCTACCTATAGTTCTCTTAGTCTTGGGTGTATCTTACACCTTGTTTGCTTCCGAGGACTGAGTGACAGTTTGTGGGCAAGTCGGTGGGGACCTGGTCCAGGCATTTTCAACGGTGAAAGTTTTCGACGCTTGGAGTCTCGAAGACAGCAGTATTAACCGGTCTTGATCCCCACCGTGACATAGAGCAGTGATGTCACCAGAGGGTCCCCAGATCCGCCCCATTCCTCAGAGGGTGATCTCAGCCCCAGCTGGTGCGCCCCTGCAGCTTTCAGAGCCCTGTAAGTCCCGAAAGCAACTCCAAGAGCCCTGCAGACAGAGGGAAGTCTGGATGCACTTTCTCCAAGAGATAGATCCCCTTGGGTCTTCCAGGAGTTCTCAGGCAGGCTTCTGAGTGTCTTTTAAGTTTGACGGAGTGCTCAGGAGGCAATAATTATTTACAAAATAGAGTGGAAGTTAGGAAGACAGTAAGAGACTGGCTGAGAAAACAATGAACTTAGAAAACAACCCAAATCACCCGCGGCCAGCCCTCACCGTTCTTGAGATTCACGCTGTCCACGGGAGTTAGCCACTAACCACAACCGTGTATGTGCCCTAGAAATGTGGTAGTTCAAACCGGTGTGTGATAAAATACACTTTGCACTTTGAATGCTTACTATGCAAAGAAACAATGGAAACGATTTCATTAATGACTTTTACATTAGCCACATGTTGAAAAATTTGCGGTGCATTGGGTTAAATAAAAACTTATTTTTTAACGTTGAAAATGTGACTACCAGAGCAATCAATAATTGCTTGGGAATTTGCACTGGGTTATTTTGGACAGAGAATGCCATTGTTTGCTGTCTATTGCAAGTGATAAACACCATGACCGACCACAACTTGAGGTTTGTTTGACTTATATGGCCAGGTCACAGTCTTTCGAGTTGGAAGTCAGGGAGGGGACTCAAGCAGGAGCAGAGGCAGGGGACTGAGGAGAAATGCTGCACACCGTCTTATAGCCCATTGCTTGTTCACCTTGCTTTCTTACTCAGCCCAGAACCACCCGCTCAGGGTGGTATTGTCTGCAGGGGGCTGGGCCCTCTCCTGTCAATCACTGATTAAGAAAATGTCCCACAGACATGACCTCAGGACAATTTGACGGGGCAGTTCCTCAGTTTAGATTCCTTCATCCTAAATTTGTAACAAATTGACAAAAAATTGGTAAAAATTTGTTTTTGATGGCACTGCGCTAGTTTTTACTATTCAGTGTGGTTTTGTTAATATTTATGATCTTTGGGTCTTCCTGCAAAATAGTGTCTGTGATGCCCTTCTCCATTACCAGATGGCCATTTTGCTCCGACTAGTTTTAAATTTGCTTTCTCAAGAGAAATTTCAGATTATAAATGCTTCTATTTAACTACTCAAAAGTGCAACTCATTCGCTGGCTTTGCTGTCTGTAATATTGTCTGTAAACAAACTCACAGAAAAGGTAGATTAATTCTCCCTCCGTGTTTTCATTTCACTGACTATTGTTTCCTCTCGTCAGCATCAGGTTAAGAGTAAGCCACGTAAAATATCTGTGGCTTAAGGGTAAAACTAATGCCAGGGTTAAAAAAAAAAAAAAAAACCATCAGAGCAATAGAAAGCCAACTAGAACAAAAAGAATGTAGTGTTTGGGAGTGAAAATACAGAGATGATCAGAATACATTGTTTTGCTTTGAAGTATAGAAATCTGCTGTGATTTCCCTGCAGGAGAAGGTGCTAGCATACGCTGCATATTATATAAAAAAGGATTTGTGTGTGAGTGCACATCTGAGGAGGCAAATCCTGTGTCACTCTTCAGGAACCATTTATCTTGTTTTCTGAGACAGGGTCTCTCACTGGAACCTGATGCTCCTGGAATTATGGTAGGCTGACTGGCCAATGAGTTTCAGAGATCTGCCTGTTTCTGTCTCCCCAGTGCTGGGATTACAGGCACACACTGTTTATCAAAAGTTTTTAACACGCACCTTTCCTGAGTCATCTGCACACACACACACACACACACACACACACACCATGGGAAGAGAATTCCTTTTCTCTAGAGAAAGCTCAAGGACTCTGCCAGCAGGAACTGTGTCAGCATCTTCTACAAGTTCAGAGCAAAAAGCCTTTGGTGATTTGTCAAATTCAAAGCTCTGTCCAAAGTAGCTTTTAAAAGATTGCTTGCTTGTTTCAATACTCCAGATGTCGTTTAAAGCAAAAGATGCTTACAGTTCCAAGCCACAGGGCTGGTTTTCATTGATCTCTTCTCACTCTGAGATTGCTTTATTGTACTTTTTAATGTGTCTGTAAAAAACAAAACAAAACAAAAACACCCTAACAACAATGGAAGTGAGCTCACTAATGGAGCTGAAAGGAGAAGTGGACACGCCCCCCATCCCTAACCCAGAAGCTGTCTGCAATTGATAACCACTTGCAAATGAAAATTTAGTTTTCTCTGGGGGAGTCTCACTAGGAAACAAACTCCTCTTAAGGGCAGACTGCATGCCCAGCAGTAGATGGCCAACAGAAAATGAACTCCATGGCATCTTTGGAGGTTCCTTGTCTCATAATGTTGTCAGGACTCCTCTCCATCTTACTTTTTATTGTTATTTATTTTGTTTTACCCTACAGGTCCTTTTTGTATATATTATGGCTTCCACTTTAGTGTTTTTATGAGATTTCTGAGTATGTGAGAGAGTGGGTCTCTGTGTCTATATCTGTTTCCTGAGTCTTTTCTTGGGCTCTTTTCTTTCTGTTTGTTTTGTCCTGTTCTGATGTGTGTTTTTGTTTTATCTTATTATGTTTTGTTATTATCCTTTAGAAGCCCGTTTTCTAATTAGAGACAGAAAGGGGTTGGATGCAGATGGGAGGGGAGGTGGGGAGGAACTGGGAGGAGTAGGGGGAGGGGAAACCATAATCAGTATATATTATGTGAGGGAAAAAATCTGTTTTCAATAAAAGGAAAAATTCAAAAGGAAAGAAAAGCTTGAATGGTGTAATCGTTCATTAATTAAAATCTTTTGGATTGGCTATTAAATTTATTTATCTAAGAAACCTGTCATTAAAGAGAATGGCAATGATATTTAATTACAGCTCTGCTTCATTATCCCATCCAATGTAAGTCCAAAGAATGGAAAGTCTGGAGACTTCAAGTGCTAATTGGGATTTTATATTCTTGTAGACACTTGATCTTTATACAAATGACTGCTTCCCAGCTAATGATTTCATTAGAGCGTCTGTAAAAAAGTTCACTGTCTCATGCTTGAATTTTACATGTCATAAAACCCCACAAATGAAGATTTACTCAGGCAGTGCAAGGAGTAATTATGTGGTACTTACAAAGTCAGCATCAGAGGCCTTCTTATTAACATCTAGCAATGAATATTCAAATTCTATGAAATGAATGTATTAAGATATAATTAAAAGTTAGACGCTGTTCTAGACAAACTTTTAATTGGGTCAACATAATTCTATTTCTAAGTTTTCTACCCAAAAGAGTTTGCCATTGGCTATGATTTATTGATGCATAATTAATGGACAGAAAAAGGAAATTCCTCTGTCTCAGGTAACTTCTCCTCTTAATTTTTCATTCTGGTTATGCTATTTACCTCTAGGCAGTAGCCCAAAGACAGTGAATTAAAGTCAGAGCAGGTGGCTTAATTCGCTGGAGAGATGACTGGTCCTTTGTGAAGGAGAACCCTGTCTCCACCTTTTCTGTACTAAGAACTTAGGCTGAAAACCTTGATCATATTCTTAGATCTGAGCACATTACCAGTTAGTCATAACAAAGACCTTCTCCATTTTTGTTTCTTCTTCAGCTTTTGTCTGTATCCTACCCTCTCCCCAGCCATTGACACAAATCAATGCATGTTAATTACACAGAACAATGGGTTTCTTTGTGATATTTTCATACACGCATGTTACATATTTTGATCGTATTCATCCTCTGGTACCCTTTCTCCCTCAATAGCCCTCTGCATATTTTCATGTTCTTCCTTTTCCCTTCTCCCTTCTCCAGATTCCATAGATGAGAGGAAACATGCAATGCTTGCTTTTCTGAGTCTGGTTTATTTCACTTACCATAATGACATGAAGTTCCATCCATTTCCTATCAATGGTATGATTTTTGCGCTTAAAGGTGAATAGTATAGTCCAGTGTGTGTGTGTGTGTGTGTGTGTGTGTGTGTGTGTGTGTGTGTGATGTATATTTTTCTTTACCTGTTGACTTACTGATGAATATCTAGACTTATTCTGTAAATTGACTATTGTGAAGAGTGTCTTAACAAACATGGCTAAGCAGATCTCTCTATTGTATGCTGCTTTTGATAACCAGGACTGGTATAGCTGGGTCATATGGTAGATCTTTTCTAGTCTTTTGAGGAATCTTCATATTGATTTCCATGGAAGCTGCACAAATTTACATTCTACTAAAAATAGAAGGAAACCTCTCCAGCTTTTACTTATTTATTTTGTATTCTTGATGATAACACTTCTAACTAGAGCAAGATAAAAGTCTCAATCTAGTTTTGATTTACATTTGTCTATTGGTTAAAAGTGTCTAAGATTTTTTGTCAAACACCTACCAGCTCTCTGTATTTTTTTGAGAAGTGTCTTTAGTTCATTTGTATATGTATTGATTGGATTACTTATTCTTTTGGTGTTAAAATTAAGTTCTTCTTCTTTGTTTTGTTTTCCAAGACAGGGTTTCTTTGTGTAGCCCTGGCTGTCCTGGAACTGTCTCTGTAGACCAGGCTGGCTTCAAACTTGCAGAGACCCACCTGCCTCTGCCTCCTGAACTTGAG